TCACTCTAACCAAAGAGATGGAGTTATTACCTGGAATAACCAGGACTTAAGTCTATCTCTGTGTAATTTAAATACTTCAGAAGTTGTAATTCTCAGTATGAAACCAAAGCTAGGCTCAAGCGTAGATGGAGCTCAGCTTTGAGGTGTGTGACTCACCCGACCCATGACCACGAGGGCATTAGTAACATGGCATACACAGGAGAAGGACACAGAGACCCTCAGAGGGTGCTCTGCTTCCTGAAGGTGCTGCCCCAAGGGCCATTAGAAGCAAAGGTAATCAACCATATACAAGATATACAATGTGGTCTGATCCTAGAGCACCAGGCAGGTAAAAGAATGTGAGACATTCCTGTGCTAGATAATATAATGATTTCTACCAGGTACACTTAGGAAATGAAGAAAGAAGTTTAAGAGTTTAAATCACAAAGGAAGAAAAATACAATATGTAGGAAAAACATGAACAAGAAGAGGGAGGGGTAAAGTTGCCTAAATTCAAGTCAAGTAAAATAACAAATCAGAACTGAATTTTAAATATATGTAAGATAGCTTGAGAAGCAGTTAGCTATAAACTGATGTTCTTCAGATGCTGGAAACATCCTAACAAGATCGTGAGAACATTGGTTTTCTCCCAAAATCAAATTCCAGAGTACAGTGATTTAGGTTGACACTTTCAATGTGAGTTAATCTGAATTAAATATAAGCTGTTTAAATGTAAAAAAATTTATTTTCAGAACCAGCCAGCCAGTAAGGGCCACATCAACTTGCTCTGGTGAATTTACCCATTCTGCTTATCCTCTACCAGTAACCCATTATGCCTACCATGATCTCCTTCCTCCTTCCTGAGAAACTGTAACTGCCAACAATAACATTCATACCGTATGTAGTTTTGAGATGGCACAAGCTCCAGGTGAATTCTGTGTGCGTGTGTTACAGAAAAATTTCCTTCTCATATCAGCCAGTGATGAACAATTCCAATAAACACTGAGCAACATTAAACGTTTGTTCATACAGATGACAAACTTAACGTCAGGGGAGGGAGAGACACAGGCTGAACTGAGGTTATAAGGAAGAGGCAGAGGGAGAAGCAGTGTAATGAATACAGGAGTACAGATTGTATCTGGAATGTTTTCAAGTGCTCTTCTAGACTTCCCAAGTCGGACTCTGGAGGCCGGATTCATTCAGCCTGACCACTGCCTGAACATCTGTACCTCAGCCAATCTAATTACAATGGAAATTAAGATGCAGCAGAAAGCTGGGAATGACCTCCTACCCTTCAATGACAGGCTTTCCCTTCAGAATGAAATGTCTCATGGTGGCGGGCCTTCTGAGAACTACCTGTGCCCTGCCCATGCCCTGCTCATCCCTCTGAGTACTCCTTCCTTGGTGGCAGGCTCAGTTTCACATTTGGAGTCTTCAAAATTCTAGCCTAGAAAGCATTTCCTGTATCTTTTCATTTTCTGCAAAGAGCAAAGTGGACTCCAAGAAAGTCATGGGATTAGGAATTCACTCTTCCTGGGTTCAAGGCTTCACCCAATGCAAATCCCAGCTCTGCAAGCTATCTGCGCAGCTTTGGGCAAGGAGGTAACCCAACACTTCCCTGTCCACACCCCAGAGTGGTGTGGACGTGATACAAAGGCATCTCAAGCACTTCAGTCTTAACTTACACACAGGCCGCTCTCAGCAAATTTAGCACATTCGAGTATTCTGCAATAACCCTGATTCAAATTAAGCAACTGAGCTGAGCTCCATTTGTAACAACCTTGCCCCTAAACCAGCTCTGGTTTCCGTAAAAGCCTCTGTAGAGGGGCCTGGGATTTAGCTCAGTGGCTAGCACAAGGTTGTGAGTTTGAACCCCGGTACCAAAAATAAAAAAGCCTCTGTAGAAATGCTCTGACCCTACTAATCTAAAAATACCTATGAACTTCAAGATTTACTTTTACAAAAAGGCATATTTAAGACTACCTACATTGGCTATTAGTGAATGTAAAAGAATAAATTATCCCTACATTATATTTGAGTCCAGTACATAGACAAAGATTACATATAGTTAAGTCTTTAAAAGTCTAAATTTGAAAAACTAGATTTGTGTAACAGGTTATATTCATATATTGTACCCCTAGATCAAACCTAATTTATTTGGAACACAATCCTTTTCTCCAAAGTTTTGTTCAGTTTTGTTTCAAATGCTGAGGGTCCAGTCCAGGGCCTCATACATGCTCAGAGAGTGCTCCACCCTGACGCTCCTAGCCCTGACAAATTGGTTCTAATCAGGGGTAGGTGCATTGTTTCTTCTGAAATTCAGAGGCTTTAAAGTAAAATGTTAACATTCTTGTTTATCAGTAGGAATGTTCATTTATTCCCACTTACGGGGGGGGGGGGTGCTCGTGTGTGTGTGTGTGTGTGTGTGTGTGTGTGTGTGTGTGTGTGTCTATATAGTCAAAATTTATTCCCAGCTAAGCATGGTAGTGTACCTGTAATCTCAGTAGCTGGGAGGCTGAGGATTGCTATGAGTTTGTGGCCAGCCTGGGATACATACTGAGTTCCATGCCATCCTGAATTGCACAATGAAACTCTGTCTCAAAAAAAAAAAAAAAAAAGGCAGACTGCGGTGAGGGGGAGCCCTCACCAAAGAAGCAAGCACTCCCCTACAAACCAGCATCATACATAGGCCACCACCAGTGTGGGGACACAACCTCAGCCACTTCTAGCACATAGGCTGACAAGCAAGAGTTACCATCCACCCCACCACCACCACCACCACCACCACTACCACCACCACGTGACCAGCTGATCTAGAGAAACCAGCTGTGATGACAGCTATGGAGGTGAGATGTAACTGGATGCCTGCGGTGCCTTGGTGGGTCCCTGAGCTTGCAGGTGCAGGTCCAGTGGTCTGTTGGGCCAGAGGATGGCAGTACGTAGTGTGGCATCTAGAGGAGACCTCCTTCTGAGGGCTGCAGCCATTGTTGATCCCCTATGGTCTTGTTTTGAAGTCCTATATTGTTTCCATTGTTTTGTTGGGCTGGGTTTAATTCTGTTTTGCTTGATTTTGTTATATTTGATGGCATGAGCAACTATTTCAAAGATAGCAAGATTTATTATGGTAGCAACTTTGGATTTACTACTGTCTTGTTATAAAGTCCTGTATTTTATTTTTATGTTTCCATTTCTATTCTGTTGTTTTTTACTGTGTCCAAAGGCATCTGCAGCTATTTTGAAGACAACAGAAGGCATGTCAACTATTGTTGATTTCATAATGTTTTGAAGTCTTGTATCTCTTACAGGACTTGAAGTCCTGGTTTGCTTTGATTAGTTTTATTGTTTTATTTTCCTTGGTTTTATTCTCTTTAAAATTTTTTTAAAATCCCAAATGACTCAGTACTACAGAACAGAATTATATTATCTGTTAGGGAAAAATTACTACCAATAGGTACTGAAGAGGACAATAAAAATCACTTTATTTACCATTGCTGGCCCATCAATTTGCATTTTAAACTTGCATTTAAAATGATGCAAGTTCACGTAGCAAAGAAAATCACCACTATTTGCAACAGAAACTCTTCCTACCACCAGGCGGCAGAATAGCATTAAAAGCAGGCAACGAAGTTTGGAACTACCGCAGAGAAACTGGTGGGTTTGCCAGAGCTATCAATACAGATACACAGTATGACTCCTAACATAACTAAACCTCTTGAAAAGAGGGACTGTCTTCCTGGGGGGCAGTGTCCTCTCTATTGCTCTCTTTAGTCCTAGACATTTTGCACAAATGGATGAACACATGGACAGGACAGAAGGAAAAAAAGCCGTAAGGAAATGTGTGTGGACTGTTTCACTGCCACTTTACTTTTTCCCTTTTTGTAGATATAAATTCCTCTCCCTTTTCCTTATGATCCAAATGAGGTAATTACACTTAAAGCTTCTTTTAAGCAAATATTTAAATAGAAAATAAAAATTTGAAGAGATTTAAATTTTAAATGAATTTGATACCAAGAACAATTAGCATGACTAAATTTGGGGAGCCTCAGTCAATAATTGCATTTTGTTGGATTTAAACAACTCAGTGTATACATTTCACCCTTGAAAACTGAACTACCAACCTGAAACATTCAGTGATTGCATGGAGTAAACTCCAAGGCCAGTGCGATGAGCATTTAATTTGAAGTTAAATGGTCAGGAGATTAAGGTTCAGGTTTACTCTTTAGTATTTTGGAGTAATCAGGTGACTCAGAGACTTCTAGTAGAAAAATTAGTTGATTTAAAAGTTCATTTCATGTCTAGAATGTTATGCTTACATTTGTCATTCGTGGGGAAAAGAAGTACATTCTCACTGAATCGTAGTCTGCTGAAGCTTTTCAACTGGTTTAAGGTTACAGTCATAATCTTCAAACATGTTTAAATTTTACTTTTCATAAGACTTCACTGAATTAATGATTCTTGTGATGAAACTGATTCCATCAAAAATCAAGTGAAAGTTTTCTATAACCCAAAATTTAAAATAATCTTATTAAAATTACAGGAAATCACATTACTCTTTTTTTTATAAAAATGTTATCTAAAAGCATAGTGCATTTTTCAACCCAGCAAGCACAGACTGAACAATCTTCTCAAGAAATCCTGCTGCTTAGGGTCCATAAAAGAAAATATGGACTATAGTTTCCAACATAAATTTTAAAAGGGTTGCCAAGAGGGATACTAAAAGAATTAGTGAATATGAACCTCAGAGGTGCTATTTTAGACATGCTAAGAATTCTAAAAATCATGCTTTCATTTGCTTTAATTTAAAATTGCAATAAAAAATAGTTAAATTCTGAATTGTAACTCCTTGATTATTTTGTGTTTATTTTACTCTAGGCCCTGACACCTAATGATCTTATAAAGGTAAATACTGTCTGCCCTGTTAATGTATAAATCTATAGCAATACTACATTCACTACCCGTTATGGTAACAACTCATTGATAGAACTGTGGGGGACTGGTGGCGGCTGAAAAGATAAGAAGTATGAAATATAAATGACCTTTATTTTGAGAATGCAGGGAGACACACCCCCGATCCCCCTAGGGGCGCAGCATCTCCACCCCGGGGTCGGCGATCCCCCTGTGGAACACATGGAGTGAGGCACATAAGTAGCCTCGGCTTGGGGTGGACCCTAAGGGGCATTAGGATGCACAGGTAGCCCATTGGTCTTTGTTTGGCACCAGAGGTAGATTCCTAAGGGAGGGGGAGATAGGAGCTCCTTGGCTTTACAGGCTACAGTGTCCAGCCTGGGCCAAAACCCTTTCATAGCCCGACTTATGATTATTATTATGAAAAGAGGCGACGATTTCTCTCTTTAACTGCTTCCTGCTGGCTGAGGGCGCTGTACTGGGATCTAGGGGAGTTGATGGGATGACGGTTGATGCCCAGGTAGACGCTGGTGCCAGGTGTTTTAGCCAGGACAACTTCACTGGTGAATGCACGCATGTTAGACTGGAAAAACAAAGAGACAAGATGTTATGAGGAGACACGGCACTGTCATATTTAAGGATCCAGGTGAGGTAGAAGGAAAGGTGCCTTCGATTTAGACATGCCATTATATCAGGACCATGTTGAGGTAGAAACATTTGCACGGTAAGGTAGAATTCTGAAAATTAAATGTGGGGTTAGGAGTAAAGTTATGAGAGATGCTTACTCCCCCATCTGAAAGGGTAAAAGTTAAAAGGGTAGGTGTGTGAAACTTGTCTCCGGTCCAGGAGTTGAACTGGAAAAAATAGGGGGAGCAGGGAAGGCGGTGGCTGTACCAGTATAGGGAAGGTAAGGGCTTAGGCTTTCAAGGATGTCACGCTTAACCAGACAGCTGAGGGTAGAAAGAACCACGACAGTCATCACATAGAACATTATGAAGATGGTCTTACGCATGATGTGGGAGTCTTTGGGAAAGACTGTCAAGTGTCCTACTGTAAAAATGATCATTAATAGAACGTAAGAAATTAGGAACCAAAGTGGATAACAAAACATGACTTAGCCTGTTAACTGTGGCTGTGAGGCCTTCGTGAAATAGAGACAGGTAGGCAACAGAAGATGAGAGACCACTCAGAATGATCAGATTTAGGGCTGAGAGGGCACCTCTTAGCCTGAGTGATGTGAAACCAGGATGGGAGTCCAGCAACTTTGACCACTGTAGGGGTAGTCAAGTAGACCAGATGGGGGCCACTCCACCTTGGTTGTAGTCCTGTGGATTTAGAACATTTGACATAAATTAGATCTCCTGGGGATATGGGAGGACCTGGTTTGGCCTCCCCAGAGGGTTGTGGAAGGCAGAGATCAGCATGTTGTCGCAACAGGTGTCGGAGGAAGAAGACTGGGACATAGTCAGCCAGGGGAGGGAGATTTTGGGGAGGAGGGAGATTATGGAGTAAGAATGGCCTGCCGTACATAAGTTCAAAAGGACTTAAGAAAGTAGGAGCCCAGGGAAGTGCCCTGAGCTTGGCTAAGGCTAAGGACAAAAGTTGAGGCCAAGGTTGGTGTAGTTCTAAAGTGAGTTTTGTAAGGTGTGTCTTTATGAGACCATTTGCCTTTTCTACTTTTCCTGAGGATTGTGGATGGTATGGGATGTGTAGGTGCCAGATGATGTGTAAGCTCTAGGATACCTGTTGAGTGATCTGAAAAATAAAGGCAGGACCATTATCTGACTGAATACTCTGAGGTAGACCAAACCTTGGAATAATTTCTTGTAATATGACTTTGTTAACTGTATCAGCAGTTTCCCTGGTTGTGGGAAAGGCTTCTATTCATCCTGAAAAAGTACAAACAAAGGTGAGAAGATATTTGAGAGTTTTGTGGCGGGTGTAAAATCTATCTGCCAGTCCTGACTAGGAGTGTGTCCTCGAAACTGATGGGTAGGCAAGGAAGGGGGTGCCATGCATCCCTGAGGAGAGGTCCTGGCACAGAGATCACAGGTGTGAGTAATCTTAAGAATGAGAGCTTTTAGAGAAGGATGTGCGACTATTGGGGCTAAGAGTTTGTATAGGGCCTGTGATCCTATATGAAAACAGTTGTGTAAGTCAGTGATGATGTCTGAGGCCTGTTGATGTGGGAGAACAAGTTTAGATCCCTGAAAAATCCATCCCTGAGTGTTTTGTGTGTAACCTGGTTTATGAAGTAGCTGTAACTTCTCTGGTGAATAATTAGGCTGAGGTAGACTGTTTGGGACTAACGAGAGAAGATAAGAAGGGCAGGGCCCTTGTGCAGCTAACTTAGCTTGTGAATCTGCAAAGGCATTGCCTTGAACAATAGGATCTGTAGAGTTTTGGTGTCCTCTACAATGAATAACTGCTGCCTACTTTGGAAGTTGGGCTGCCTCTAGAAGTTTAAGGCTAAGGGGAGCATTTATGATGGGGGTTCCCTGAGTGGTAATAAAACCCCGTTCTTGCCAGATAGATGCATGAGAGTGTAAAATACTAAATGTATACTTTGAGTCAGTATATATGTTTATAATCTTGTCTTTTGCTAGTGTAAGAGCCCTTGTAAGGGCAATAAGTTCTGCCCTTTGTGACGAGGTGCCAGTGGCAGTGAATTTGCCTCTATAACTTTTGACTGTTAACTATTGCGTATCCTGCCTTCTTTTGGTTGTCTGTGTTTGTTGAACTGCCATCTATGAACCATGTGTCAAAGGCCAAAGAGAGAGGGGGAGTCATCTGTAAAAATTCAATACAGTCATGGTGAGGATGGTCCTCTGAGGTGGAAAGTAAGGTGGCTATATTAAGAGGACCACTAGTTGCAATAGAGATGCAGGGGTCTTGAGAGAGAGCTAAGTGTACCTATTGAAGGTGAGAAGGGGTCATTAGGGCAGGGAGCACCTTATGTGAGATAAGGTCACATAGGTGGTGAGGTGAGTGTACTGTAATAGATTGCCCTAATGTAAACTTTTTAGCTTCCTGTGTCAGGAGGGCTGCAGCTGCAAGAGCTCAGAGACAAGGAGCCCATCCTTTTACTGTGTGATCTAACTGTTTTGACAAGTAAGCTACTGCTTGAAAAGAAGGTCCCTTTTTGTGTCCTAGTACACCTATAGCGTTGTGGCCCTGACAAGTAGTGTATAGGATGAAAGGTTGGGTGGGATCAAAAAGGGTAAGAGCTGGAGCTTTTAGGACAGCCTTTTTCAATTTTTGAAAAGAGGCATAGGGGGCTGGGGATTTAGCTCAGCAGCATAAGTACCTGCCTTGCAAGCAGGCGGTCGTGAGTTCGATCCCCCGTACGGATAAAAAGAAAAAAAAAGAAGAGAGGCATGTATGGGCCTAGTAGGGTCCAGGGGTTCTGATAAGGGACCCTTAGCGGCCTTGTAGAGGAGTTGAGCTAGGGCTGCAAAGTTAGGAATCCAGAGACGAAAGAAATTAGCTAAACCTAGGAAAGCTATAAGCTATAAGCTGCTGTTTAGTTGTGGGCACCTGGAGATCACGAAGAATTGCCTTACGATCTGAGGTGATGGAGCGAGTAGTGAGGGTGAGAGCAAGACCTAGGTATTTGACTTTTGGGGAGGCTATCTGGGCTTTAGCAGGAGAGACCCTGTATCCACGACTAGCAAGGAAATTAAGAAGACTGGCTGAGTGGCGTATGGCTAACATATGGAATGGAGAATATAATAGAAGGTCATCTATGTATTGAAGAAGAACACTAGGTTTGAGATCAAGTTCTGTGAGGTCAGTAGCGAGAGCTTGACTAAAGAAGTGGGGACTATCTCTGAACCCCTGGGGGAGTACTGTCCAAGTAAGTTGTTGAGACCTGAGTGTGTCTGGGTCAGTCCATGTAAACACAAAGAGGTTTTGGCAATCAGGGCGTAGAGGGATAGTGAAGAAGGCATCTTTAAGATCTATAACTGTAAAGTGAGTGGTGGAGGGAGGGATATGAGAGAGCATGGTATAAGGATTTGGCACCACTGGGTGAGTCGGGGTAATAGCACTGTTAATTACCCTAAGGTCCTGTACCAGGCGATAGGACCCATCAGGCTTGAGTACCGGGAGAATGGGAGTACTGTGGGATGAATGGGTAGGTTTAAGAAAACCGTTGTCCTGGGGCTGGGGATTTAGCTCAGCGGCATAAGCACCTGCCTTTCAAGCAGGCAGTCATGAGTTTGATTCCCAGTACCGATAAAAAGGAAAAAGACAAAAAGAAAAAAAAAAAAAGAAAAGAAAACTGTTGTCTGAAAGTCACTTAATTATGCGTTTAAGTCCTCTTAAATGTTGGGGAGCTATGGGGTATTGGGGAATGCAGGGAAAAATTGAGAGATCCCCGAGATGGATTAAAACAGGCATGGCATGTGTAGCCAGAGTGGGATTGGATGTGTCCCAAACCACGGGATCAACCAGTGGAGGAGGAAGCGGGGGGAATGGCTTTGCAATGCATTGTAAGGCTGTTTGGAGGATTAGGGCTGTGGGGAGACAGAAAGTGAAGGACAAATTTAGCTTTTGAAGAAGGTCACTACCTAAAAGGGGTTTGGGACATGTTGGGATTACTAGGAAGCTATGGGTAAAGAAAAGAGTCTGTAATCTACATGGGACAGGCCCATTTGCAAAGGTTGATTTGGCTGGCTGTCAACGTCCACAACAGAAATCAAGGACTTACTACAAGGTACTGAAAATTCAGAAAGTACACTATAAGTCGCCCCCATATCCACAAGCAAAGATATTATCTTACCTGAGACCTCCAGTGAGACTCGGGGCTCCGACAAGGTTACCGGAGTGGGGGCTGTGAGCCTTGAGCCCCGTCAATCTCCCACAGCAAGTCCGAGCAGGTCAGTCAGCATCGAATCTGGCATTGAAGTCTCCTGTGAGGGTGAGGGGATTAGAGGATGGCTTACCCGCTCGCTGGAAGCTAGGCCAGTCACTCTTCCAATGCCCTTTAAGGTTGCAATATGGGCAGGGCCCTAGAGGAATGCCAGGAAAATCTTTTGCCCAGTGTCCTTGTTTGCTGCGTTTGAAGCATGGTCCGGGCGGGACTCGGGCAGCCACACTTTGTCATGAATTTCTTGTCTTGGGAGCTCCAAGTGCCACTGCTAAAAGGTCAGACTGATATTTAGCAAACTTTAATTTTTGAGCTTGCTTCTCCTCTTTTTGAATCTTATCTCTATTGTTGAAGATATGGAAGGCTAATTTAAGTAGATCCCCTTGCGGAGTTTGAGGGCCATGTTCAACCTTTTGTAATTTTGCACGAATATCAGGAGCAGACTGCGAAATAAAATAAGAGTTAACAACAATCATCCCTTCATGAGAGTCTGGGTTCACATTAGTATACTTAATACTTCAGGTATACTTCAGGTTTCCTGAAGCCGATTTAGGAACACAGCCAGGTTAACATTAGCCTCCTGGACCTGTTCTAAAAGCTTGTCCATTCTGATAGTTCCAGTTAGGATCTTGGTCTGGTACAACTACAGGCCCAGGGTCGTTATCAGTGGTGTTTGCCTTATGCCTACGGTCAGCTTCTTCTCGAGCTGCTTGCCACAGCTGATTTCATTTTTGTGAGCTGAAGGTGGTATTTAAAATCACATAAACATCCTTAAAATGTCAATCATAACAATTAGTAATAAATTCAAATTGCCTGATATAATTTTGTGGGTCAACAGAGAAGCTACCTAATTTATGGGTAATCTGGGATAGATCAGAAAGAGAGAAAGGCACATGTATATTGACCAGCCCCTCGGGGCCAATTTGTTTTTCTCGAAGTGGTAGCAGAGCCTGAGGAGAAGAATGTGGAGCAGAGGGCCACTGGGCAGCTATCCGACCGGTAGACGCGTGCGAACAATTATCTGCAGAGTGGCTACAGAGTGGCTGCTGCTCACCCTGGGATGAGTAAACACAGGCAGATGGCATCTCACCGTGTGCCTTGCGAGAGAATTGCTGTTGGCAACCGTCATGTGGACTGCAACAGGGTGGCTATTGCTGTTCACAAGAGGAGCCACAAGGGGGCACCCACTGACTGTGAGACCTGAAAGAACACGGCGGCGCCCATTGACCGTGAGACCCGTCTGAACATGGCAGCGCCCTATCACGTGGTGGAGGGTCGCAGCATGGCAATTGTTCCCAGTGCAAGCTGGAACAATCATGCTGCTTATCAGAAGGGCACAACGAACGAGATCGAGTGTGGTGGGCAGGCAGTGAAAATGCTGCAAAGGGCAGAGTAGAGGTACTGGGAGAGGTATGTATCACAGAAGGTGGAGAGGGAGACGATCACACAGTGAGAGATAACTTTGGCGCAGAGGGACCAGAGTTGCCGAGAGGATCAGGGACAGGGGGAGGGGAGGGCAGTCCAGCAGGAGGTAACAGCGAGGAACCAGTTTGGGGGTAGGCAGGCGGCGGCCAGGAAAAGATCAGAGGAACATCGTCGAGCATATCCTGGGTGCATGACGAAACAGGTTGGATCGCGGCAGAGCTGGCTAAGAGAATTTGCATGGGGTTACAGGACTTAATGAGAGAAGGGCGTGTTCTCAGAACAAGGAACGCCTCTATGTACGGAAGTTCTATGACCCTGTCACTGGCCTGGCAAAAATCATATAGCGTTTTGAGAATGAAGGGATCAAATGTTCCTTCTTTGGGCCAACAATTGCCGATAAGTGGATAGGTTGGCCAGACCTCCTGGCAGTAAAAAGTTAATAGTTTAGTCTTTATGGTACTTTTAATCTTAACAGTACATAAATTGGAAATTAAACATTGTAGAGGCGTTTTTGGGGAGTTAGAAAATATTTCCCATGATTGATTCAGGCAAGAAATAAGCCATGGTCCAGAGAACAAGCCGTCACTGGTTCTGCGGCACCACATGGCAGCTAAGGTTCCAAAAACTCGTATATTCTAGTTGCCACTGAGAGATTTACGAGTGGAGTCCACGTGGGGCAGTAACAGTTTTGCCTGTGAAAGCGTGAGGCTTTAAGGAAAGTGAGGCATTTTTCAGTGTGGGTGGTCCAAAAATCTCTGCTTTGAGCTATCAGAACTCAAAGAACGTGAGAGATTTTAGAATGTGGACACAGGTTTGCGCAGAAAAACCCTGCCCAGGGCTGTCCTAAAGACGTGAAAGTGCCACAGACCCACACAAATGGGGAGAATAGTCAACTGGGGTGGAGCCCAGCTCCAAGAGTTCCTCAGAGAGTGCTCACCTGAAATCAATCTGGCCGGTGGTGAGTGCAGGCAGCTGGTGTGACAAGTCAAACGGGTCTCAGGATAGGAAAAAGCACGGAATTAATCCAGGATGTTATCCGGTTCGTGAATCCGCTGGGGGACTCAACTGGGAACTCAAAATGGGTGTGTCCCAGGAGTCAGTCGCCTGCCGGTCGAGTCACAGCACCAAATGATAGGATTACTTCCAAAAGATACAAAGTATAAAACAAAAGAGGCCTTTATTCTGAGAACACAGAGAGAGATAACCAACATCCCCCGGCCGCTGGAGTCCAGTGCTCTCTCTGGCGGACATGTGACGTGGTTGGTATATAAGTAGCCTAAGCTTAGGGTAGTGCCCTACGGCCATTAGAGATGCACAGATATTTCATTGGCACACGTTTGGCGCCAGGGGCAGATTCCTAAGGGTGGGGAGAGATACAGTCACAGGTGAATCTCTAGGGGTGGGGGAGATAGGAGCTCCCTGGTTCTGGCTGAGGCTTTTTCAGCTACAGTGTACGGCCTGGGTCAAAACCCTTTCACTCATACTGAAAGTCACTTCCTTTATGAGTACAACTCATCTGGACACAAAATAAAGCACAGCTGTTTAATTCAAAGCTAAAAACAATCTCAATGCACAAGAACAGTTCTATATTCATTTATTCAATTCCTCCAAACTGTAAAGCAAAACAATGTCTTCTATTGATCAGAGAGAGTGGGGTCAGAAGACTCAGGATTGCAGAACAAGTGGCTTTAGGAAAGACAAAACAGATTTGGCTATTTTTTTTTTACTAATGAATTAGCATAAATATGTAACACATTATACATTATCAAATCTAAATTCTAACATGTTTTTAACATCACGCAATTCAACTTTATAATGAGGTGATTTACTGATACAAGAAATTACTCCAAATCTTAGTTATGAAAATGTAAGAGAAATACTTGGAACAGTTATAAAAGATAACACTAAAAAATTCCATCCCTTTTGTCTGAACGCTTTTCACATGGACATTTCTGAAATCAGGATGAATCTCATGATGGACAATACAGACAATCTAGGATCTTTTTCTTTTAAAATTCTATTAATGAAATAGAACATTTTATTTTATTACTAACAGCATCTCCGAATGCTAAGGGACATGAGGGAAGAAAATTAGGCCTTAATCATTTGGGAAGAAAATTAGGCCTTAATCCTAACATACAATTTTTCAGAATTCTTTGATGACTTTTGTTATCTGGAGCACCATTTAGACGTACCAGGAAACTGGCAGTCAAACAGACAGCCTCTGAGCCCAACTAAATAAAAGACCCAAGTCTTGGCGTCAAATGCCCGGTGCTCTTCCCCAACCCACTCTGTGAACAGCACTACAGTCATTTCCAAAAGGCACATCAGAAAACTCTGGCACGCCTCTGACCAAGGCTGTCTGAAGGACTGCCCCAAATGATTGCCATGGGTAATTACACACTAAAAATTAACTCGTCTTTCCATCCAAGCATGGCTGAGGCACACTTGCGCATGCTCCTAATCTTATCCTAGACCCTAATTATGACCCTAACCTCACCTGTGCAATTACATGAGCTGCGTGACCCTGGTGAACTCAGAGATTCCTTCCGGTGGAAATGTTTGCCAAGACATTTACCTCATTCAAATTACCAGGGCTTTTAAAAGCCCTGTTGGCCACAACTTATTCTGGAAAAAGAGCCTGACAGAACAACTTACTGAACTGTTTGTCACATCCGTGTGATAAGGGTTTTTCCCTCTTGACACTCCTAGCTAAGGCAGAGCGCAGGAGAGGACACACTAGAAGAACCAGCACTACCAGGGAGCACTGCTGTCACTTGAGAACTGCCAAGGTCAGACAATGTTTAGCATAAACATTCTTCCATACATTCCAGGGCCCACAGTTCTCCAAGTGAAAGCACTCACCACTAGGTAGTGTAGGTCAGGTTCTTTTTTGCGCAGGCTGCTGAGCTCTGAACAGAAGAACCAGGTGGAAACTACACAGCAGTATTTTTCCAGTAAATCAGCTTGCACAAGCAAACCCTTGAGACGAAGTATGCATTCAGAGCTGCAGTGAGATTCTGATTCAAGTGCCACTCAATGGGGAACTGGTATCACTGTTGAAACACAGCCCTTCCGTGAAGTGCACCCTGGTGTTTATTCAAATCCGTTGTCTAATGTCCTAACATTGTTAGCACTGTCACGAAACAAGAAAGCATTTCTGTGGACTAAAAGAACTTATAGCTAAATGCTGCATCTCTGTTTTCAAATCTTAACATCATGTAAACAAAACACTATACAACAGAATGGAAGTAATTTTTCAAAAAAAATTTTCACATACAAACTATTTCAGTTTATGCACTAAATTAAAGATGAGTTTTGAACCAACTGAGGGTAAGTCTCTGTTCATTTGTATGCTATTATAAACTACAAATTTACTGGGGGTTTAGCTCAGCGGTGTAAGTGGCTGCCTGACAAGCACAAGATCATGAGTTTGATCCCTAGGACAAAAAACAGAAAAAAACTACAAATTTACTGGATGAACTGAAAACAGTATCTCTATTTTTTTTTTCCCCCCCAGGGCTTCATTGGAATAAGACGTTATTTTTATGATTTTATTGACAAAGTGACATCAATGTCAGGAAAGGTAAGAACAGCCCCTCTAAACTATAAAGGCTTACGGTACATCAACTCAATTGATCTATCCAATTAGATCTCATGAGTTATAAACTCAGTTTCCTCTAACACCTTAAAATTTACATTTCTGCATACCTTAAAAGATACTCTTTTCAGAATTCCATAGTTATCTCACAGAATTTATGTTTACAGAAGCATAAGCACTATTAGTTTAAGAAATTTCAAACACTAAAGTCTACCTAGGCTTACCTCCATTTCATGGACAATTCATAATAAACAACGAAAAAAGCCCACTGTAAAGTTACCAACCCAGTAACGGCAGACCTCAAAGCAACTTCCTGAGTCTCTGACTCTCACTCGTTTTCTTTCATTTAAAACATATGATAACAAAATGCAGAGGCTACAAAGGCACAGGTTTTAAAAAACAAAATATAATTAAAATGACATAAGATATGTGTTTATTTTACTCCACCATGAGAGAAACTGATGAATCAAAGCATTTTCAACCCCAACTGTGAGAAACTGTATTTCACCCACCAGCTTCCTTCCAACAAGCCTCACTGCCCTATAGCACTGGTGCCTCTACCACTCAGATTCTTGCATCAGGCCATCAGAGGCCATGTGGGAAAAATGAAGCTTCATGCTTCAGAAAAGGCATTTGAAGCTTCAATTTATCAGAATTTAAGTGTAACAGAATTACATTATTTTCCACCCCTAACCAATCACTCATATTAACACATCAGCAGTACAATAACCATAAAACAGGATAGATGGGTAGGGATGAGGAAGTAAATACAGTGAAAACGTCTTCTTACAGTAATTGTAATCTGTACTGTCTATTTTAATGGAAATAATTCTGTCACTCTGATGCCATAAGTTATGCAGCTAGTAAAATGTGCAAATCTTTTAAACGCCACTACATATTGCTTTTAAGGCAATCATGCCTTTAAGCACATATCATTTTGTGCTTGAAATGCTTTAGGAGGCTCAGGAAAGACAAACACAGATTGTGACCATTTATTCTAAGATTAACACAGGATCATGCAAACAGTTTCAGCAGTGCCATTCAATCAGGCTTGGCCTTACAGCTCAGGTCAGTTTCTCTGAATGCTGTTCATGGAACATAAGCTCCCCAGCTGCACCCTGAAAGGAGCAGACCACAAAAGATCCATAACCTCACAGGGGAACAGACACCAGACCTAGGAAGACAGAGATTCAAACCCAAGCTGGGTTCCTTACTGGATATAACCCTACTTAGCATTTCAAAATACCTGTTTTTTTTTCATCAGTGAGAGTAACTACCACCTCAGTTCACAGGACTTCTGTGAAAATTCTGATACACAAATATTCACCAAATGTTATCTATTATGATTAATTATTTTACTACCTGTCTCTAAAGGAAAAGGAAAAATATTCTTTATACCTAAGACATAGGAACAGCAAAGAGGAAGAGAGCATTACCTGGTGATATAGGAATAGCTGTAACTCCAGGAATGTGTTAAGCTAATGTTTTCATTTGGTTTTTCCTGTACAGATGGTGCTGAGCATTTACAGTTCTCAGAAGATTATATGCTTCTAGCTTATCTACAAATGCATGTTTTATTTTCCAGACTCTATAAAAGTTCCAGTGAAAACTCTAAAACACAATGAAGAATTTGTGATTTACATACTGGTCATTTGCTTTAGTTGTACTTTAAATAAAACTTTAACATAATCCAGAGTCTTTATTACTTTCAGTTTAAATATATCAAAACTAATAAACACAAACAAATGCCATCTTTCATAAAGTAGCTCACAGTTTCCTAAGAGCTTCTGTAAGTGGTGCCAAATCAGAGTCTTGTTCCACACCAGAATGAGAAGTTTCCTCCTGCCCAAGACTGTAAGTCACAGCTCCTTCACGCTGGGGCTGGGTCTGCAGCCTCCCCTCCAAGGAAGGTCATCTCTTATCAAGTGCAAGTCCCTCCTGACGCGGGCTAGGGACCAGGAATGGTGCAGTCTAATAATTATTACCTCTTCAAAAAATTCAAAGCATCCTAAAATCACACATGGAAATGTTTCTCAGCAATCTGCAAGGTGGCCTAAGGGGGAAAGGCCTCCTGTCAGTTCAGTTCAGGGTTACTAACAACGAAGTTCTAACAAAAAGTCAATACAAATAAAAAATAAAACAATAAAAACAAAACCTTTGTTTTGCCTTTACCTAGTTCTGTTCTCAAGCTACACGGGTAAACCTAAGCCCTTTCTCAAACACCTGAAGGAAACTACCACGCTGCCCTCTCCAGCCTCCTCCCTTTGGAGGTTCCATCTGTATTCCATCTAAACGAGGAAAGCAGCAGGACCGTTCCCACACAGGGCGACAGGAGTCGGTATCACGGGACTTCCCAATGGCTCTTTGGCCTGGAAGTAATACACGGGTCTACAGGGACAATGCAGTGTTACTTTTCTTTTCTCTTCATTACTTCCAAGGGACAGACGTTGTATACTAACCTTTTGATTTCCTGATTTAGAATGTTAACTACCCATCTCTGAAAAACTTACTTCAAGATTAGCACTCCCTAACAAGGACACTGGCCAGCATAATCTCAGCACACAAAAGGCTGAGCCAGGAGGATTGCTGTGAGTTCGAGATCAGCCTGGGCTACAAAATAAGTTCAAGGTCAGCCTGAATTATATAATGAGACCTTGTCTCAGAAAGACAAAACAACAAACAAACAAACAACAAAACACTGTCACAGGATCATCCTCAGACCCTGCCCGACATCGATTCCATTCTGCATCCATTTTTAATCAATTTGTGGCACAGCAGTTGTAACAGATTAAAATTTTGGACCGGGGATATAGTCAGAGGCGTAAGCACCTGCCTGGCAAGCGCAGGGTCCTGAGATCAATCCCCAAACTCCAGTACAAAAAAAAAATTCCACAGGTGCTAACTCCCTGGACAGATTAAGTTCAGGATTTCTGAAAATGAGAATATGAACTCTTATTCACTGGCCTTGACCTTACTGGCTAAAAGAATAACTGTATTTATGAACCTGATGACTCCAAAGTCAAGAATACATGAAGTTTTTACTTTTTTCAGATTACTAGGACAAAAAGAACAGAAGTTATGTCCAACCAGGAATTTATTTTTATTCGAGTTACAATTTGTCAAACAGTACTGGCCATGCCATGCTTAAATAGAACACATACAAAATATTACTATATCAAATCCTTTTGACCAGAAACATGAAAATTTTTATCACATTTACTCATTTTATTTTAACCCCAAACCTTCTAAATGTAGACATTCTGAACCTTGCACATGAATAAAGTGACTTCCGGTCCTTGCCTGCGCGGTCCCCACACCAGCTCCAGGACTCCCCCTCCCGCTCAGGACCTACACCTTGATGGCTTCTGGGCCCTGGCACCAGCCTAGGGGCCATGGCAGTCGGTGGCCGAGTCCTCGCACCAGTGCGCGTCCCGCTTCTCTGCCACCAGGTAGATGAACTGTGCATGGCTGGCATACAGCTTCAGCTTGTCGCTGATGTCCACCCACTTCACCTTCCCAGCATCGTCCCCAGCTTCCAGGGCAAGGTTGTCCATGATCTCACCTGGCCGTTAGGAAACCGATGAGAAAAGAAGACACTTTCTTTTTTTGCACAATTCTACATACTCAAGAAATACCAAACCAGAAACCAAATACTTATGATTCTACTTATACATACACATAAAATATTAAAATATTTCTAGTTATCATTACTAACAAGTAAAATGAGTGCTGTCACAGGAATGTAGGGGCACATTTCTACAGGACAATTTGGCACTGTTTGTCAGGTGTCTTAGGAAAGAAATGCATACTTGTGGGTAGTGAAATAATAACTTTCAAAATATCTTCCCCTTTACATCATCTATACTCTAAATAACTTTCCTTGTATAGTAACTACCTTTATAAAAAGAAGTAATTTACTGCTGAGCACACAGATTCCCAAATTCCAATGTCTAAATGGTAGTTCCATGCATACCCTCACTGCGCTTGCATCTACCCATCAAAGAAGAAACAGAATGGCAACGCCACCCTCCAGGGCTGGGGTGTCGCTCAGTAGGTTAGCACTTGCCCAGCATGTGCAAGGCCTCAGTTCCATCCCCAGCACTGCAGAACAAAATAAACCCAAATTTGGAGCTAAATGGAAATACCAGATTATCTAAGTAACAATTTCCTCTGAAGTCCTTTTTTTAAAATCAGAATTAATGTCTAAATATTCTTTTACTTGTCCCTTGGGTCACTTAGTAAATTCCACAAAATGAAAGAGAGGAAGTCTGACATGTAGAGTTCAGGAGTCAGCACTTCTATCTACCCACACAACAAGAAAAGAGTTGAACTAAAAATCAGTAATTCTGCTTTGCTCCATTAGAAAACAGAGGCTCAGGGCCCCTCTCGTTTCTAGCAAGGAGAAAGGAAAAGTCACCACTGTGCCCACAGCATACTGCCCTCATGAAAAACTAGTTTAACAAGGCCCAGCCAACCTGGGGGAGGGAAAACACCCAACTGCAGCCCCTACTAGCCTTCCCCTCTGCCCTAAGGATGAGAGGTAGAGAGAGAAGTTGAGAAGCAGGTATGAAGATCACACCCGGACACAGGCTCCCTAAGAGACTGAGACCCAGCATCGGGGTCTCTTATATTTCCCTCACTCCAAACTTACTACCATCACAGGGGATACAACTGAAAACGCCTGTGAGCCTTACTAAGCAACCGCTGAGGAGCCAGGTGTGGAGGTGCATGCTTGTAATTACAGCACTCCAGGAGGCTATGGCAGGATGGTCTCAAATTCTCAAGCCCAGCCTGGGAACTTGGTGAAACCCTGTGTCAAAATTTAGAATTTTTAAAACTTTCACTCAGTGTAAAAGCCCTGGATTCAATCCCCAGTACCACTCAAAAAAAAGGAAAAGTCTCTAGAGAAATCCAAACATAACAGGAGACATAAAAACAAGGACACTAGAGGATATTTAATGTCTTAGAGCACAGTAAACAACGAACACCTCTAACTTAGCCAGACAAGCATGGACCCTTGCACTAAAGGTTCGTTGGCCTTAATTCTCGTTACCAGATAAACTACATTTAGCTTTCAATATAAACTACAAACGTGTAAAAAGCCATGAACAGTCTCATGAGACCAGCCAAGTTTAATTGTCAAGCTTAGATAAGCCAAAAGCTTTGAAGCCATATTCAGTCAACATTGGGAGAAGCGGTCACTATTCTAAACCCTTGAAATAAAAAAATGTGTCAGCTTTAAGTTGTTCAGATGTGATTCTAAGTTACATCTGTGATTCCTAAGTTCTCAATACAGAATCTAGGAAGGAGAAACTTTTAACACAGTGGAAATAGTGGTTCGCAGTTTCCCCCAAGTCCAACAAACCAAAGCTCTGTGTAACAGGAGTAATCTAGGTTTAGTCCTGAGTCCAAGAGCAAATGACCTGCACAAAGTTCCAGAGCTCCTAAAGAAGCCAGGTAAAGCACACGCAGGCCTCTGGCGAGGCCCATTTCATCACAATGCAGGTAAGTACCAAACAAGCATCTTTCCACGTAGCAACACAACCTGCTTCAACAGAAACCCTCAAAGTGGGTGCACAAGAAGGCAATTTGCCTGTCCTCTTGGTGAGCACCCTGGCGTGGGCCAGGAGAAAAACCAGCAGCTACAAGAGACCCAGCCACAGTGGGACCTAGGTGGCTGCACAAGAAGGCAATTTGCCCGCCCTCTTGGTAAGTGACCCTGGCGCTGCCGGGAGGAGAACCAGTCAGCTGTTCCCGGGAGCCTACCAGTGCGAGGGCTAAGATTCAAACATCTTCCCCTACCAACCACCATTAGCAACTAGGGACAGAGGCTTGCGCATCTCTTGCGGGGATGACCAGATAAAATATAGCAAATATGGGGATTGCCTTCTATCTTCTGTTTGAAGGCAAAGGTTATTTTCACTGTTACATTTTGTTTTGATGGTTTTGCTCTATGTAATATTCTCCTCCAATCGGTTTTATAATGGTCTGTTATTGGTTTGATTTTGCTATATCTAATTGCCTAGACAACTATTATGAAGATAATGAGATATACCACAGTACCTATTACTACCATCCCATTATCCTGGTGTGACGTTCTGTACCAATGTCACTGCACTGTCTCGATTGGCTTTGTTCTGTCTTGTTCTGTTGTATTTTACCACATTCCAAATAAAGTTTTTTAAAAAACCCTCAATGACAGCAGATTTCCTTCCCTTAGTAAGATCTGACTTCCTTCAATAAATTTTAAGACCCATAAAGCAGAAAAAGGAATTAATTTTAAATTTTTTGATGACTTGCATCTTTTTTATACTCTTCTGCACTTTGTGTTTATTACAAAAATATTCCAAAGAGAATGGTACATATAAATCGCATTTCTTTTATCATTCCACTCTTTTCCACCCAAATGCTCAGCTGCTTTATATAAATGGAATCACGCTACACAAATAGCATGGGAACTTTAAAGTATATCACTCAAGTCCACAAATTCAAGCTTAATTTCATAAGCTAGAATCAGGTTAAACAAATTTGAGCCCTGGTAGGAATATGTTTGAGGCTTCGCTCCATGGATTCCCTCCGTGCCAGCAAATCTGCCTTCACATATACACTGTATAGCCCTGAAGTCAACAATGAGTTGGCTTCAAATGCTAACAGTCAGATGTCATCACGCCCTAGTGGGCTGCTGGGCTTACACTGATCTGCCAATTCCCTCCACATAACGGACAAAAATTACCTGTCTCATCGTGGTAATTCACAGCTTCTGTCTCCATCCATGCATTGTCAGTGTTGCGAGGGTCATCGACATATCCCTTATATATCTGTTGTTAAAGGGGGTAGACAGTTAGCCAGATGGGAAGGTACACACCAGTAATCCCAGTCATCCGTGGAGTTTAGGCAGGAGGATCTCAAATTAGAGCCCAGCCTGAGAAACTTCGTAACTCAGTATGCCCTGTCTTAAAATTAAAAGGTGCCGGGGAATACAGCCCATTCAAAAGCCCTGGATCCAATCCCCAATAACAGAAAAAAAAAAAAAAAAAAAAAAAAAAAAAACGCTAGGATGAAAAAAGAATGGGTAGAACAGAAGCACATTACCTTCACTGGACTCAGAAATAAAACTATTTGACTAAGTAAATCTTTTACCCTATTTTGCTCAATTCAGTTATTCAGAATATCAAAGCGGTAAAGACAATGTAAAATTTGACATTTTAACACTGATGTTGTACACTGTTTTACTTAACACCCTAGAGGAATAACTGTCTCTGATATCAATTCAAGAAGACATTTTTGTTGCTAATGTACAGTTTTTATAATGGTAGTCAGCAAAGAAAGGGATCCTTATTATTCAAACTTAAAAAAAAAGAAATCTGCTACACAATACTTAACAGAAGTATATGCATAAAAATAGTTACAAAGTAAATTTTATTGTTTGTAACCAAAAATAAAGAAATATAAATATAGAATTGATCGTGTACCTTTAAAAGTCACTGGATTTAAACTCATCAAAGAATAATATCCTTTTTCTGAGGCATTTAAAAACACATAAAACCCTCAGCACCTCAGACTCTAATCTCAAAACATGCCAGGGGCTGCGAGTTGGCTCAGGAGTGGCGCTGTCCTGCCCTCACCCCCAGCACTATAAGCAAATGAAGAACAGTCAGACTTGGGCCACAGGATTTTTAAAAAGGTCCCATAATTTAAGCCCTTCTTACAGTGATTCTTGTGACTAGAATTTCATAAAAAGAAGGACAGATACTTCCAGTTAAACATGGGACCTATAATTAAAATTAAGGATTAAGATTTGGATCCTACAATCCACACTACTGTGAGGCTGATGCAGAGGATTATAAATTCAAGCACAGCCTGGACAACTCAACTCTGTAAGACCCTGTCTCAAGGTAAAAGTAAATAAATAAATTAAAGGCCTAGAGCTATAACTGAGTCCAAACGTTCTGTGTTCAATCACCAGTGCCACCAAAAAATTTTAAACATTAAAACACTGGACCTAGTCATCTTACACAAATATGATTCAAACTATGTAGGCAGTATCAATAAAAAATCAACAAATCCCAATTCTTCAAAGAAAATAAAGTATTGTAATGAAAGTCAACAAAATAAAAATCTATTCTTCCCAATTAATGCACACATACTTTATAAGGTACTTTTTTAATTATAGAGGATATACAGGCAAAATGGTCATATTTCAATGGTTATCCAATAGAAAAATTCAGTATCACATAATTTAAAATGTAAATGTCCTTTCAGAGAAAGTAGGATACATTAATTTAAAAAGGAAAAAAGGAAGGGCTGAGGATTTGCCTCAGTGGCATAAGTGTCTGCCTGTCAAGCGCAAGGTTGTGAGTTCAATTGCCAGTATCAAAAAAAAAAAAAAAGAAAGAAATTTTTTAAAAAAAGTTTTCTGTTCGATGGATACACAACATAAAAAATGGTCTATTATATTAGCTTGTGCCCAAAGAATAACAAAGCGGAAAAAAGAATAAGTAAAGAAGTTAACCAAAAGTCGTCTTATGAATCTGTGTTTCACATACACAGGGAGTCCACTTTATTTAGAGAAGGCTCTACTGATTCTGAGTGAACCTGATTTTTCACTAGAACAGACCCTACCAGAACCCCCACTCTCACCACTAGATGCTCTTGGCTGAAGAGTTTGTGTAACTGTTCCTCCAGTTCTCTCTTTTCTGCACTGGACTTCTGTAAGGAGTTGAGAGCTTCCTCACCAAATTCTCTTTTCAGGGTGGCACTAATCTTTTCTCCTGGATCCACCATCCCCTAAGGATCACATTTAAAAGTAAAAGAAAAGCAGTGAGCCTTGATTCGTGCAACGACTCTCCATGGTCTTGCAGGTAACTGCCCTTTATGACATCCCCCCAGCCTCATGCACGCATGGGTGGGGCTTTTCAGAGGCCACTGGATTGGGGGGGTGGTACTGGATGAATCCAATGATTGCTTTAGCACAGACTGGGTGTGGATAATGGGAAGCCCCACACTGAGTGTGGGTGGCACTACCCAAAAGGCCGGTGGCCTAAATGTTTAGGATAAAGAGAAAGTGAGGCTTGCTGCCCTTTCACTGCATGCTATCTGCCTTAGACTACTTATCTATGATGCCGCTCTGCCATGCTACCCCGCCTTGGAGCCAGCTGACTATGGACAGAAACCTCTACAAACTGTAAGCGAAAATAAGCCTCTCCTTTAAATTGTGGGTACTGGGTATTTTGTCCTCCAACAATGAAGTAACTAAAACACCATTCTTCAATATACCAGTGACTCTTGTTCCCCAGACAACAGTGAGTCTCACTCCCCCTAAACCATGTGTCTCTAGTAGAAGCTGAGTGTTAGACCACAGTGACTGGTCCAAAGTTAGCCTCTGACAAACCACGCTAATCCAGCTTTTCTCCTGGTACCTTCCAAAGGGAGCAGACCTGGAAGCAAGGAACACAGCAAGACCATTGCTCTCCACTGCTTGGGCCACCCCAGCATTTCCAGGACCCATCACTCACACCACCCCAGGAGGCCTTGGCACTTGCTAGTAACTTTGTGCACTCCCCAGCTTCAGCCTTTCACCCCGACGGCGCCTTGCTGAGTCATCTTCTAACAGTGGTGACTGCCTAACACTGCGAATTCTCAGACCTTTCCTATTTCTCTCTTTCCAGCATTTTTAACTCATTATATTCTTGTCCCACTGGAATGTGGGTACCACAGATAAGAATGTTTAGATTGCTCTGCTGGGCCAGGGATTTAGCTCAGCAATTTAAGCACTTGCTCTGTAAGCCGAGGTTCAGAGTTTGATCCCTGGTACGAATATAAATAAGTAAATAAATGCTCTGTTACATACTTAATGTTTTTAAACAAAGGGAAGATATTCAAATCACAGTGAGTAAATAACTCTCAAAACTGTGTCTATGACAAGAGTTGCCTTAGTGATCAGAATTTCAAATGACAATGAAGAGATAAAATCCTACGATGGAGGACTGGGAACTTAGCTCAGTGGTACAGCACCTGCCTGGCAAGCCTGAGGTCCTCAGTTTGATTCCCAGTACCAAAAAAACAAATCCTGTGATGGAATCATTACTGTTACTATATTCACCCTGAGGGAGTTTGATGATTTGGCACACAGCAGGGATCTTTAATTCCATTCCATTTATATCCTATAAAGAAAAATTATTACTGCAGACAGTGGTACATTTATAGAATCATCCCCACACAGACTATTTCCATTTCACAGTAAAGCAAAAAAAATAAAACCTTTTACCACACTTATACATATTTTAAAAGGTCACTGTCTCAGTGGGATAAATTCAAACTACAAGCCAATGAAAGTACACTCCTCCAATGAGACTTGGGAAATTTTTTAAACTACAATAATCAATAAATGATAAAAAGCATTTTTATTATGCCTAAAGTTGTCCAAATTCAAGCATAACCACTAAAATTATTAGCTTGAGCTCAGAGGTGGGTGGAGTCAGGCCCAGACATTAGTGAGAGCCTTTGGCTTCTGTGCTACCGCTGCCTTTAAACTCCCCATCCCCCAGCTGCAGCTGGAAAGACTCAAATGCAAAACAGGTCTAACTCCAAAACCCATGTTCTCTTCCTAAAAGCAGAATTACACTCAGATGTTAACGCCTTTCTACTATTGTTGGGGACCACAAACTCACAATGGCTAATTTTGCATATTTCCCTAAGGGATGAATGGAGGCTAGGGATTATTGGTATCATTTTGGAGACTTCTCACTATCTCTTTAGGGATGGACCATCCTTTCCTGCCCACTAAGATTAAGACACTGAATCAAACTGAGGACCTCAGGCTTGCCAGGCAGGTGCTGTACCACTGAGCTAAGTTCCCAGTCCTCCATCGTAGGATTTTATCTCTTTTTTTTTTTTTTTTTTTTTTTTTTTTTTTTTTTAATTTTTATTTAAGGAGAAAAGAAAAGAAAAAAAAACAGTGAAGGGTACAAGTTATACAGATTTACAGAAGAAAAAAAATGCGCAGTAGGAAATCACTAGTTAATAGATTACATATTGCCATCTTAGAAATAATTGTTCAAGTCACAGAATTAAAGTTTGTAGAGTAGACATTCCAGCAATGATACTGCAAACAGTTCTGTTCAATGATCCATTAGAACTCTGTGATATCATTTTCTGTCTTATACATTTAAATATACATGCAGTTATATAGTTTAGAGCATTTTCTTTTCCTCTCTTTTGTACAGTGACTATTACACATTTTGGGTTTCATTGCTCCCACTGTTCTTATTGCTTTTTTGGAAGAGAGTAAAACCAAATGTGACATGACAGAACAGAATCGGTCAAGTCAAAAGGGTGGATATAATAGATAATATAAAAACATAATACAAGGTGATCAACAATGGTTACCCTAATGCCTCCCGCTATTTCTAATAGAATTGCCTATATCGTTAGTTGTAATACTATTGAACAAAACCGTAAAGGATAAAACCGACAAAACCAAAACATTGGAGATATTGTAGGTCTTCAAAAGTAGATAGAAGTCAACGAGAATGGGCGTTATAATGAATCTCATTATCTTCTCAGCTGATGCCTAAACTTTCGAACCTGATACTATTCAGCAAAACAGAATAGAGGAACCTCAGTCAAAAACAAGATGGTGAGAGTAATACAGGGCTTCAAATCGAGAAAATAGAAAGTCAAAGTGGGTTACTATATTATATCCTGCTATATTTTTCCCTTTAATTAAATGGATAACAATAAAAAAGTATATAATGGAGTGGAGATTGAGAAAAAGAAAAAGAGGGCATAACAGCGAAACAGGGCAGATCAAAACATAACCTTTTAAGCAGAATAGTGTTTCACCACCAGATATTTCCGACTTAAAAATAGTTACCATATTGACTCCCTCCCTGAAGTCCTTGAGTACAACTTCATATACTGTAGCATTAAGTATATCAAAACAATGTAAAACCATTTAAGAGAATGACAGCATTATAGAGTATTTGGAATTGACTAACAGAAAATGAACAATGGTCTCTGTATAATCTCCTTGTCTTTAAAAGGTTTTTGCTTATACTAACGTACATAACAAAATCCAATAAGATACAACCTGGTTAGACCATTGGAGACAGAAGAACAAAAGCTAGATGAGACTTCAAAACAAGATGGTACTGAATCAGCATTACCTATTAAGATGTCATTTTCTCAAAAATAGCTGTTCCTATCATCCAATCTTCTCTGTCTCATTTCTGTTGAGCTCTTTTTCTGTCAGTAGCTGTCAGTTTGTCTTCTTCATTTTGTTCTCTGCTCCATTCGTTGTGGCCTCCCTGCCACTATTTCTGGGTTCTTTGTATTTTTCTTTTTTTAGAATATCCTGCAATACTTTCTGTAGAGTTGAATTGGTGGTTGCAAATTCCCCCAGTTCCTCTTTATCCTGGAAGCACCTCGTTTTTCCATCAATTTCCAGGGACAGTTGTGCAGGATATCTCAATCTTGGCTGGAGATTATTATCTTTCAAAGCTTGAATTATTTCCCCCCATGCTCTTCGTGATTTGATGGTTTGTGAAGAGAAATCTGCTGTAATTCTGATGGGTGTTCCTTTGTAAGTGATCTGTTTCTTGTCTCTTACAGCTTTTAATATTCTGTTCTTGTATTGAATTTCTGGGATTTTTATTATTATATGCCTGGGTGTTTCTCTGTTAGGGTTGTAGGTAGCTGGGGTCCTGTATGCCTCATACAGCTGAGTATCTTTACCTTTTGCTAAATTAGGAAAATTCTCCTGGATTATTTCTGTGAGTAGCTTTTGTAATTCATTTGTTTGTGTCCCTACTTCTTCTTCTATGTTCTTAATCCTTAAGTGGTGGCTCCTCTTATCATCTTCTTGTCTTTGTATTATTGCTGTTTGTTTCTTTGTTATTTTTAAGAAGTTTTTCATTTCATTCTCCCATATTTCAAGTCTGCCCTCCAGTTCAGATAGTCTGTCCTTAGTTTCTTTCAAGCTGTTATGCCAGTCTTGTATAGACTTATTAATTTCTTGATAGTCCCTTTGAACCTGCTTCACATACTCAATGCTTTCTCTGTTTTCTCCATCAAGCAATTCTCCCCTCTTTTTCTGTTCTTCCATTCCACCATCTGTTTTTTCCTGGGTGGTGTTTAGCATTTCTCTAACTATTCTGCATACTTCTAGCTTCAGATCATTGATAACTTCATTCCTGAATTGGTCTATGAGGCTCTCAATATGGTGCTTAATGTATACTGGTGCGGCGTCCATTATTGCCTGTTTCTCAGGATTGGGGGCCGAGGAGCTTTTTTTGTTGCTTCCCTTCCCCATATTTTTTGTTCCTTATAAAATGCAATCTTACAAAGGAGGCCCGGCTTCCCTGCCTGTCAGCCACAGCCTGATCAAATTGCGCTGGCTAGTTGTTCCCGCCCACCGCTGCGCACCAGGGAGTCGGAGGAGGCAGCCTACGCGGAAGTCAGTCGCTCCTCCGGGCCATCGTCCGGCTCTGGGATCTGGGTTAGGCTAGTCTAGCCTAGAGAGTCCGCCAGCAGCGTCACTCAGGCCAGGCACTTTTCTCCAATCCCGTCCGAGAGGGGAATGGCGCCCAGAGAGATCTCCGCTAGAGTCAAACTGTGGTGGGGGGTCAGATTCTCACTCACCTCGCCACCAGTCAGTTTTCGTGTACACCTCTGTCCGTCCTTTTTTTTTTCGACTCCGTTCTCCCGTTCCCAGAGCTCGGCGCTCCCAGAGCTCGGCGCGTCTCTCCTTGCTGAGCCGCTGTGGAGATAGCCGGCCGCCGCACGGCGGGAAATCCAAACCAGTTTCCGATGGCGCGGAGTCGAGCCTCCACACCGAGATTTTTCTGTTCCTATTTTAGCGCCAGGACTGTATTCCAAGTTGGATTCTCTCAGCCCAGTTCGTTCCTGAGTCAGCAGAGCATATCTCTACTGATTCGTGTCTCCCTAGTCCGCATTATTTCTGGCCTCTGAGCCGAACCTTTCAGAGAGCCTCTGGTAGTTGCTGTTGTCTGTCCGCCATGTTCTCTCCACGCTCCGATTTTATCTCTTCATTGTCATTTGAAATCACCTCTGCCCTCCTGAGTCATCCAATAATCCCTCCTCAACTCCCCCTCCTCCATCAGTGAGTGCTGGGGTTTTGGCTGCCTCCAGGGGGTTTCTTTCCTTGTGAACAACTGGTCATCCCAGATCCCCTCTACTGCCATTTATCTCTTGCTCTTTCTTTCTCTCTCACCATGTCTTGTGCAACAAGCAAGAAACACCCCGAGACTGTAGGCTCACAGCAGGGGGTCCCTGATATATTATGTGAAACTTTTACCAAGAATGACAGGTCACTGCCATGATGAAAAATAACTGAGGTGGGAAGATCCCCACACAGTACTTTTGTGTAGTAAGCAAGCCACTAAAACAATCTGAAACATCAACTGTAATGCTCACCCCTGGGATCGCCCACTCTCCACAGTCTTTCCTTTTTATTGCAACAAACTGTAAGATGCATTTCCCAGAAACAGGGTGGGTGATTTTATTTCCACTGCTGTCCCTTTTCCACCTGTGAAGAGAAATATAAAATCATAACTGATTTCAACAAAGGCCAATGCTCTACCTCGAGCCTGAGAGAAAATTATAAAGATACATTGCTCTTCATAACACAGTATATATAAATTTACCTCAAATCAGCAAGTTTCATCCCAAAAGAACTTTTTTTTTTATTAAAAATACTATATATTGGGGCTGGGGATTTAGCTCAGCGGCATAAGAACCTGCCTTGCAAGCAGACGGTCGTGAGTTCGATCCCCGGTACCGGTAAAAAGAAAAAAGAAAAAAAAAAGTATATAAAAAAATACTATATATTTAGTACTGTTATAAACCAAGACCACAGCCTACTTACACTGTATTTTTATAATGAAAAGTCAGGACACAAGTAGCTTTTACTAAAGTGCTATCAAAAACGTTTAAAAAGAAAAGAGAATTTAAAGAATGGTTGTTAAAAATAAAGTAAAAAACCTAAGAACTATTTTTTTTAATTACAGACAGTAAAAAAGACCTGCTGATAACCGCACTGAACAGTCCGTCCTGTGTTCTCAGAAAGCACGTTATCACGTGGTGCCATTTCAGCTGGATGCCTAAGTGCTCTTTTCAGTCCTCATGTCCATTTCACACACAGAATAAACCCTTACGGATTGTCCTTTAATTTTATATTCTGAATCAAATTACATGATTTTGTAAACCATACGTTAACTTCAGAATAGTTTCTCTGACCACCTCCTCTTCCCCAAGTATGCTAATGAATCGCTCTCCTTTTTAATCTCTATCACATCAACTTCCACCTTCAATTTTTAAAATTTTCTAATGGTCTCTTAGAGAAAGATAAAAATTTTGAATTTCTAATACTAAATCAAAAGAAAGTCTACAACCATCAATATGCATGAAACCCCAAAACTATGCTAATCTGGACATGAGTCACCAAGTTTCTTCATATGGTAAACTGACTTATCCAACCCACAGTTTCTCCCCTGCAAGAGCTCAGTCTAACATTACACCAGCCATGTAAGAGAATAACCTAAAGACAGGGTAGCAGCTTGATCAGGATAGTAACCAGAAGTCAAAGAATAATCAGTATCTTTTCTCTCTCTCTCTCTTTTTGAGATAGGGTCTCACTATGCAGTTCAGGCTGGCCTTAAGCTCACTTGGTAGCCCAGGCTGGTCTCAAACTTGCAATGATCCTCCTGCTTAAGCTCTTAAATTCTGGGACTACAGCTGTGGGCCCCTACATCTGGTTTCAGTATCTATTTTTAACATGCCAGACAGAGGAGTAACATAAAGAGGAAAGAAATGCAATGAAATAATGAGTTCAAGAAACATCATCTACGCGGGGTCTGGCATCACAAGCATCAGCAAGGGAAAAAGAGAGGCTGAGGCTTCGGAAGCAGGCAGTTATTTACGTGACAAGATTCATCCAAGTTATCTGCTTGGAGAGCTGGAAAACATTTTCAAGCAGGGCACATCCTTAACCAATCTGCTTTGCTTTTCTCTTTTCTTTCTTTCTTTTTCTCTCTTTTCTTCTCTTCCCTTCTCCTTCCAGATAAGGTGTGCTTATGCAGTTTACGTTGGCCTTGAACTCCCTGTGTAGTCCAGGCTGGTCTTGAACTCCAATGATCCTCCTGTCTCTACCTCCAAAGTGCTAGGATTATGGGCCACCAGAGCTGGTTTCCAATTTGTATTTCTGAAAGCTCATTCACTTTAACAAAAGCGAGGAGGTTGATTTGGAGGGAAGCAAGATTAAAGGCAAGACCAGCTACAAGGCTGTTACCATGATCCTGGGAAGAGATTGAGGAGGTCAGATGGAAGGCTGGCAGGACAATAATGAGACAGGAAAAGCATCTCATTAGTCTAAGGAACTTCCTGGGAGTCTGAATACTTAACACTTGCCTGGAGATTCTGAACAGGAAAGTCTATGAAACGCTGCACTACACAATGTTGTTTTAATCATGAGATACTTAAAAGAAAAGGGGGTGGAGTCTTTGCTTCCAAAGTGCCAAGGTGATTATCAGGAATATTCCTTAGTGAGACACAGGGCTAAAAAAAAAAAGTATGATGTTCAGAGGCACACATTCCCAACTCAAACCTCTAAGACTCAGGAAGGTCACCTAACCCCAGTAAGTCTCCACTCTTTTTTCTGTTTTTTCGGTGCCTAAACTCACCACCTCATGTTTGCCACGCCAGCACTTACGCCACTGAGCTAAACCCCCAGCCCTATGTCTCCATTTTCAAATCTATAAAATAAGACACATTCATGCCTGCTCTAAGGAGGGGTGATTTTGAGAAACAAATGGAAACACTAAAATACCACAGAGTGCCTGAAATATAGCAGTATTCTTAAAAGTTCACTGCGTCTTACTGACTCTTCTTTTAACATCTTTCCTTCTTGCTCTTCTATTCTTCCTGCCACTTACCTGTTAAGAGCAACTTGGCAATTTTTACATGCATCACTGAGACAACAAAGAACATCAACCTACAAGTACGGCTAGACTGTCACATGTGGGTTCTTCTGCATCCCTGGACTATCTGGAGGCCTTAAGTCCCCTTCCCTGTAGGACTGTGAGCTAACCTAATGAAGCCTACCACTGCAAAATGACTTGACAGACAACCACCATGCACACAGAGCCACTGTGTGGTCCACGGAAGACACAGATAAACCAGCTGCATGCTGCAGTAGCTTCCTAATACTGTGACCAAAGACCTGAGAGAAGCTACTCTTAGCAGGAAGTTTACTTCGTTCATGGTTTCAGAGGCTGCAGTCTATAGTTACTTGTGCCATCATTTTCGGTCACGGCAAGGTAGTATCTCCTAGGGTGACCTTGTGGCAGGAACAGCTATTTACCCTGTGGCTGTCTTCTGATTCATGATTGCCAAAGGCCCTGAATATGAGCTGACTTACAAGCCAGGCTCAGGGAAAGAATGCCTCTCCTCTATTTTGAAACTGTCTAGAGGCTCTAGTTCTAACTTCCTAACTTGGCATTTAATAATTCCTACAATAGAATTGCATAAAAATCAATTTGAAGATTCATTTATCACCCACCATACTTCTAAAAGAATCTTTTGTTTTAAGCCAGCCTGTCTTTTTACTGCTGCTCAATACTGAAATACAGTTGTCCCCTGGTGTCTACAGGAGACTAGGACCAACCCCCATCCCAAAACCTGCGGATGCCCAGGATTCTTACTAAACGTGGTACAGTATTTGTACATTTCCTATTTGAGTATTTTACATCATCTCAAGTAGTTACAAGGCCTAATCTCATATAATCTCATATTTGCTACGTAAATAGTTAATACTGTGTTGCTTAGGGGATAATGACAAGAAAAGTCTGCACATACTCAGTAGATACAATTTTTTGCTAATGTTTTTATCCAAGGTAGGCTAAATCTGTGAGTAACCTGAGAATTGCAGGACTAAATATAGTACTCAGTTCATGAACTTAGTGTGTTCTAGAGAAAATGAATGCATGCATCTTTATTATCCAATGAGAAGTTCACAAATGGGAGCAAAATCCTGCCGAAGGCTTCTGTTCACAAACTGACTTGTTTGCAGACAGAAACATTTGTGAACTGAGGTATTACTGTACAGATATTTCTGCAAACCTTTCTCTTAGAGCTCCTACTCCCTAAGATTTCACTTAGCTCAAATTTACCTCTTTTTCTGAGAGTGGTGGTGCACATCTGTAATCCTACAACTCAGGAGGCTAAGGCAGGAAGATCACTGAGAGTTTGAGGTCAGTCTGGGCTACATGAGACCCTGCCTCAAAAAAAACAAAACAATAGCAGCACGCGCTCACACACACACACACAAACTACCTCTTTTTATGAAGCCTTTCTTGGATGCTCCAGTTAACCATGGTTGTGTCCACATCCAGTCTTCTGAAGCATCCTGTATTACCTATATTACACTTAATGACATGTCAGTCATCATGACCACATATGACCAAGTTCCCGCTGAAAAATTCCTATCACCTAATGATATTACATTGCCATGCATTTCTCATATGTTTGCAGTGATGCAAGTGTAGACACACCTAACAGGGTGCCGGGCATATAAAACATAACATGTACACTTAGGTACAGAACCTAATACTTAGTAAGGAAGGACCACATTACTGAAATGTGTGGGAATTTACTGTCCTTTGGGCTGTTAGCGTGTACTCCTTGAACTTATTTAAGAACGTTATTCTGAAACAGTCTGCCACTTGTCTCATGCCTCGTGTTCACAGCCACTCCTGATTGCATCAAGAGTACACATCTCACCCCTACCTTAACCCTACCTCTGCCTGTGTAAACACATTCTGTGCCAGCTACACAGGGACAGAGCTGTCTCACCACACACTCCTCAGATGTCTCCACTGTAGGTGACACAGGACTGTACATGATCTTATTTGACTAGTTTTCCTTTTTCAAATTTTCCATCATATAAATTAAGGCACAGCTCTTTAATGACAGGGAACCAAAACCTTGGCTCTTTAAGATACTTTTAAATCTTCTAAAGTGTCTACTTGATGCTAAAAACAAAGAGATCGTCAAAAAATTTGGTGCACTATTTTTAAGATCAATGCTCCACATAAAACTACAGGTTTATGCTTCCATCAGATATCACTATAATTTTACATAGTCTCTTTAAACTACAAACTTTTGTGTCTGTGCATAGGTGTGTGTGTATACATACATGTATATATGTACACATGAACATCTGTAGTGCATATATACACATAGATGAACACAAACATGCATATATACATGTGTAAGTACAAAAACGTGTCCACACATAACTACTGTTTTGCTGGTCCCTTGGGTTTTTACCACTGAAATATTTATTTGCTGCTTACCTGGTTATAATGGGATCCGCAGCATGATTTGGGCCCCATCTCCCCAGAAGCCCCCGGCCAACCAGGCCTGTTCGTCCTGCAGGATTTCTGGTGGGGAAAAAAATACATACATACACAAATACAGAATTAACTGAATGCGTTCACCTTTTTAAACACAAAAACAGATACACGACTAGTAAAGAGAAAAGCAATGTAATCCCACAATTCCAGCAACACTATCACATCTCCAGCTCTGAAATTATTCATCTCATGCTGTTACTTAATTGTTCTTTGCACTTTCTTCAGTTTGATCCCCATTGAGGACATCATTTCCAAAGAGCTTGTACAATGTAAAAATTTGTTTCTGATTTCATCTAACCTACCAAGTTCAAACTAGACCTTCCTGGATTCTCACCACACTCTGCAGCTAACCTTCTAGCTCTACAAAAGTTTATTTCACAGTGTACGCACACTTCCCTTCACTTTCTTGTGATCTTCTTCTTCTACTCTACTCTCATAAAACTCACCCTTCTGAAGTAGCTTATGTCACATTCCAGTCCATTTTTCCTCAGTGGGTTATGCATTTTTATTTTGTTCTGTTTTGTTTTGTTTTTGTACCAGGAATTGAACTCAGGACCTTGCACTTGCCAGGCAGATGCTTGCGCTGCTGAGCTACATCCCAGGCAATAATACATGTTTTGAAGCAAAAAATGAGATAGTATTACTTAATATTTCATAGATTTTTGAGTACACCAAAATCCAATTTTATAAAAATTCCAACTTCCTTTTTTTAGTACTGGGGACTGAACCCAGATCCTGGTACAAGCAACCACTTGGCATTTAGTGGTACCCAGGGCAACCCACTTCTTAACCTAATGCCATAATTCAGTGTTAAATTATGTCAGGTAAACACATCACAATCATACCACAATAAGTTTACACCTGTCAATGTTAAATGTTTAATTACCATTCTGTATCAATAAAATGCCCTAATCTGCAGTCTTCCATGTTTAATGCTATCTTTTTTCTCTTTTCACTATGTGGAATGTGAAAAAACCACTTGCCAAGATGCCCTGTAGCCGTCTCTTTTTATGCATGCTCCCTGTACTATATTAAAACTAAATTTTACTGTAATTTTCTAACACTTTTTACTTTCTCAAATCACCAACCATGGATTATGTAGCAACTATTAAGTGGCTAAATTTTATAAATCCTTGGGAAAACACAGCACTGTGGAGTGACTATGGTATCCTGTGCAGAACCTTAATCTTTGAAAACCGAATTTTACATTGTTTTGTACTGGACTCAGAAATATTTCAGCAAGACTTACTAATTACACAGAAAAACAACTGCCATGCTAACAATAATTCTTCTCAAATTCACAGAAGGGCCAGGGTGGCTAACAACCATATCTTATTCTATGTAAATACACAACCTGAACACAAGTCATCAAAGCCAAGTGGTAAGAGCAAGAATATTAGTTTTTATAGAGAGCCATGAGAGCTGATAAACTGTGTCAGCTGAACTGGCTCAGCACAGTTCTGGGTGTGGAAGACCCACCCTAGCTAGGGAGGACTGTAATCAGAATGCTCCAAAAGGGGACTGTCTTCCTCGGAGGAGCTCCAGTCTTCACCTTCCCCTGGGACATCGTCTCCTGGCTTCCAGGCAGACTCCTGAGCCTCCAGCAGACCTTCTGGTGCAGACCCTTCAGCCTGCTAATACAGACTTGCATAACACAGTACACAGAGCTCCAGGCCTTCATCCAGATCCTCTGTATCCCCAGCGCACAGACAGCCCTTATGCACTCTTCCACAACCAACTCTGCGGGCAGCCATAGTAACCAATCTGCAAGCTCTTACACATTTGTATAGCCTGTATTGTATCAGTTTCCTAGTAAACTCCGACTGATACAGTCATTAAACCTACTGCAACAGCATGCAGAAACACCAAAATGACATCCAGGATTGGGAGGTAGATGTATTTTACATCAATGAGCACTGACTGGGGTCACTCCCAGAACAGCAAGCCCTGCGCTCTGGCAGTCAAGGAGAGTTTACATGGGATAATTAAGCAGGAAGTACAAGGGGCAGAAGCCTGTCATCTGGGGATTGGTTTATGCATCATAGTGACCAGTTGTTTTAAGAAACAGGAGCAACAAGAACAGGAACAGGAACTATTTACTGGGTGTCTTATAGTTACTTTTAACTCATTGCTGAGACAAAATACTTGATGCCCAATATTGGGAAAGGAAAGATTTATTTCTTATAGTTTTCTGGAAGTTTCAGTCCATACTCAGTTGGCTCCAAGGCAAGGTGGCACGGCGGGGCCACAGTTTATGGTGGCTATAAACAGCAAGGTAGAAACCAGCAAGAGAGACACACCTTCTTCCTGCCATTACATTGTATGCTGGCTCCACCCCTTGGTGGGTGTAGCACTGACACCATCAATCCAAGCGCTAGACAATGGACCAATCACAAATGCCTGGGGGCCACCTACATAAACCACAACACTGGGCAACCAAGAAACTAACGCATATTGGAGGGTGGGGTGGGAGGGTTTCTGTTATATAGCACTTTGCAAACTACAAACCAAGGAATAGATCCATGCATTATCCTAGACCCAGAGAGTGGACAAAATTGTTTGCAGAGAGAAATGAAGCCAACATACAGAAGAAAACAGAGGCAGAGATAAGGTCCCGATAGATCTCCCTTCCCTCCTTTCCTAAAGCTCAATGGACTTCTGCTCTGGGCTCTCTGACACCACCCAACAGCTGAAAAATAACTCAACTTCAAGTTACGGCTTGTGTTTGTCACACACTTAACTATAACAACAATGTGTCTTGGATCTGCTGCCTATCATTTCAGAGAAATACAATCTTTTCATACTTATTCAGAAAAGAACCTACACAGGCCAAAATAAAACCTCCTATTCTGTGTAACTAATAGGTACTATTAAAAAATAAAACAGTGTCACTTGGAAAAACTCAGTAACTCAGAAAGGAAAGTTACGACGTTATGACCAACGAATTTAGCAAAACTGAAAGACCAGGCCAGAGTAAAGGAGCTCTATCATTTCTGTGCCCTAAAGAAACTGAGAATACAAAATGTGACACTTTTATATGGTGACAACCATGATTATGATCTTCGTTTTATTTGGGGCCAGTTAATTTTTACATTTCTTCTTTACTTTTATAATGTCTTCTTAAGTAAAATGGAAGATTTGGGAGTTGTATAAAAAATCATTTTCAAAGTATAAAAAGAACCTTAGTATTAAATGGCTGAGCTTTACGTTTGGTGCAATGCCTGGCATATTCAATAGTATGACAAATGTCAACTACCTTTTCTATTTCTGAAAAGCCATTACTGTAAGACACTCCCCTCCCAGAACCCACCTGGGCCGTCCATTTTCGATTTCATACAGGCCATTCTGGCTCTTTCTCTCCACATGTCCATCCTTTTCATTAAACTTCGGAGAGAAGTTACTTTCACTGTAACACAAGGTCCAACACAGAGTGAGAAACCACGATCTGATACTACCAACAGCTAAACAATGTAAATTACCTTGTTATTCACAATATAGTCAAGATTCCTGAAAGAGTAGACTTCTCAAAGGTTAGTTTTAATTTATAAATCCATTTTATACCTACAAAACAGTTTCTAAGGGGACACACAAAGCCCTTTTTAACCAAGACAATTAGACTACTAACCCTCTCCTGGAAGGAGTACCAGCAGAAAAACTGAGTCTTCTCCTACATGCTACCGAAGTCTACATTGTTATCAGCAATAAAGAACTGACTGTGGGTACATTATGGCAACTACTGGTTCTCAAGTAGTTCCAAAAATAAATTTTTTCTGCACATTTTGATGTTCTGTCATAATACTGTCACAGAAACAGTGGACTGAACCTATAAACTGCATAATAAATACTACATGAATTAAAAATAGACATACTAACGTCAAAGTGTTCTAGTCCTTGACCTTGATTACAGTTACACAGCTACAGAATATACAAATATACAATTTTACTGAGCTGGACTTGCCCACTTAAGAAACACAGACTTTACTGCAATCATATAATGTTTCAACAAAAATATTTTAGAAATCGATATAACTAAACTGCTTCCCTCAGTGCTCTGACATCAGGGACACACGGTGCTGCCCTCGGGGAGTGATCCTGTAGCATGGAGCATCCCTGGCAGCTTCAGCACAGGTTTCACCTGTTTTCTTGCTTCAATTCCAGTAAATGAATATGCAAGTATTTGTGGTCTGTCTTAGGAGCAACGTCCCAGCTGAATACTCTAGGCATTTTCTCAAGATTTGTACCCAGTCCTGCCCTACTCTGTCTCCCTGTGTCACACACACACACTTTGTCCCTTTCCTATTTTCCTATTTTTTCCGCCCTAATTTCTTTTCATCTATTCTTAGTACTCTGGAAAAAAATTCTGAAAAATATTTCTGCTACTTCAAAAGCAAGTCTAGCTATGTTAGAAAATAACCACCAAAAATGTACCACTGACAATCCAAAGCACATGAAAATAACCCTAGCTGTTATTTCATAGCAAACAACTGTTCTACCAACTCAAAATAGATTCACTTATTAGAAAGGACCTCAAAGAATCCCCAAAATAATAAATAAATATGAACTCTTTCTTTTGACAAAAATCCAATCGAATGTGGAAACTGAGATAACAAAGTCAAGCATAGGTAAAAGTGATTTTCCAGGGATCCAATGATGATTTACAAACATGGGCAGTACCTTCTCTCAAGTCTTAACCAGCTTAGGCTCCATTCTCTGCTCACCTGATCTGGGGATCCGCCCACCTGGGTCCAGCCAAGACAGAGAGGGCGGTATACTCCACAGGGTTGTAGTCCTGCCACTCCACCAGCCAGCCCACTTTCTCATTGGGAACCTGGCTTCGCTGAACTTTGGAACCTGGGTAAGGTGATGTCCGAGCCTTGTTGTGAGAATTCTCTTTGGCACCATTAGAACTGGACATGATATTAGAGTTTAGATGAAACCACCGAGAAGAAAATGAGTTTCTGCAGAGGAAAAATATTTACAGAACAAACAGAAGTATATTAATTTAAAAATCTAATTCACAGGTCCTAAGAACATATTTTTCAATTTCACAAACTTTTAAAACTCAAAACATTCAAATTCGGTCAATACTAATAAATCAGTTCATCTGTGAGAGACTTTCAAACACAAAAATTTTTAAATACAGTTAAATTTCATTAACTGGCGCCTACTCATCGATTTTAATTGACAAATAAGGACACAAGTTTGTGTTACCTGTTGAGGAAGGGAAAGTCTGTTATGAGAATGAAACCACACACATGAAGGTAAAAAAATTTGTTTAAGTCTAGGTGAAAAGTAACACTTTTAAAAACCACCTACATGTGTAAAATGTATGGCAAAACAGCACCAAGGAGTAACAGTGAAAATTTATTATTGCAAAGTTTTTGTGTTGAAAATAAATTAACATGATGTGAAGACAGAATGTGAGAAATAAGCTTGGCAAGCATGGGTCATGAGTTGGATCCCCGGCACCCAAAATAAATAAATCAATAAGATCAGGCATCATTTGGAAGCACATTTTCATTACCTTTATTCCGCATAATAAGGAAGGAGTAAAATTACCTCTATTTGCAAATCTATTATTTTTATGTAAAAAACCCCAAAAACATTCCATAAAAAAACTAACAGAGTAAATGAATTCAACATACAAAAAGATATATTCAAAACAATAACAATGAACAATTCAAAAAGGAAACTAAGAAAAAAATTTTATTTACAATAGGACAAAGAATCATTTACAACAAATGCAACCAAAGAAGCACAATTCTTGTTCACTGAACTCTACATAATATTGTTGGAAGCAATTAAAATACTAAGACATGAAAAAATATTCCAGGTTCTCTGGCTGAAGACTTATTGTCAAAATGTCAACACTACAGTAATCACAAGAGTGTGACAGTGGCACACAGACACACAGAGCGCCAGGAAACAGTCACATACATTACACATATTTTCAGAGAGTGCTGTCTAAGACATTGCTGAGACAAAACACCTCACAGCTAAGTGAGGAAAGGTTTATTTATCTACAGTTGGTAGAGGTTTCAGTCCGTAACTGGCAGATTCCCAAGGCAGGATGGCGTGGCAGAAGAGCATCACAGAAGAGAAAAAGTTCACAGCAGGCAGAAGGCAGCAAAATAAGCAGCAAGCCCTGAGTGACAAGCAGCAAGAGTGCAGCTCTCTTTCTGTCCCTTTTATTTTTATTTAGGTGACCTGCCCAAGGCAGGTAGCACTCACACCCAGGGTGAGGCAGGCTTAATCCTCCCCAGAACTATTTAGTAATCTCATGCTCTTAATCCCAGCATCACACAACCTAAATCCATCCACCTCTGTAAAAGCCCTACCCATCATCACATTAGATTTTAGGAGGACATCTGGACAAAAGCCGTAACTGACGCTCAGACCATTCAAGAGGAAAAAGATCTTTCTTTTCAAAATACAATACTGAAAAAAAGTTTTTCACACGCAAAAAAAAAAAAAAAAATGAAGTTGGACCCTTTCTTTACACCACATACAAACATTAACTAAGACTGACCGGTCTAGAGATGTGGCTCAGAAGCAGAGCACTGGCCTGGTGTGTACCAGGCCCCCAGCACTGAAGGGGCAAACAAGAATCAAAGAGCTACATGTAAGACCCCAAACACTAAAGCTCTTTTAAGAACATACGCAGGAAAGCTTCATGACGTTAGGGTTGGCAATAATTTCCTAAATGTTACAACAGAAATACAATCAAAATTAGAACTTCTGTGTATCAGACAGAACCAACAGAATAAAAAAGAATCCACAAAATGGAAGGAATTTGCAAATCATGTATCTGATAAAGTATTGGTTAACATCTAGAATATATAAAGAAGCCCTACAACTCAACAAGAAAATCTAACTACAAAATAGGCAACGGACTTGCACAGACATTTCTCCAAGGAACATGTAAAACTGGTCAGTAACCACATTACAAAGAGGCTCAACATCACTAATCATTAAAAAAAAGTACATCAAAACCACAATGAAGTATCACCTCACACCAATGGAGAGGGGAACATAAGGAAGGAAAGAAGAGGTGAGTGCTGGCAAAGATGTGAATACATTTGCCATTAAAAATAATGCCGAGTGCCTTGGCAGTATTTCATAAGGTTATCACTAAACAGTAAAACAACAGGGAGTGTGTATTATATGATCCTATTTTTATACAGCAACATTGTATGTAAGAATATGTATTTTTTTATTGCTACCATAAAAAAGTACCATAAACTCAGTGGCTTAAAACAATACAAGCTTATGACCTTAGGGTTCCACATTAGAAATGGACTAAAGCCAATGTTACCATTCATATCCGGATGTGCCCCGAGGCAGCATGCAGTCATAGGCAGGACCTTTGGGAGGTAAGTGTATTATAGAGGCAGGAGGGCTACCTATGTATTTGAGGCTGACTTTGAACTCACTATTGTAGCTCAGGATGGCCTCAAACATGCAGCACTCCTCCTGCCACAGACACCACATGCTGGGCTTACAGGCTTGTGCCACCGTGCCCAGGTTTATTTGCTGCTAGGAGCTGGTGTTTGCCAGGAGTGGTGGGTCACTGTGGGGCTAGCCTAGGAGGGCATGCCCTTCCAGGCTCCTTCCTTGATTCTGCTTCCTGCTGCCACACCCCTCGGTCAGGCTGCCTTGCCTTGGAGCCAGCCTACTCTAGACTGAAAACCTCTATAAACTGAGCCTAATTAAATCTCTCTTCCATTAAGTTTTGGGTGTCACGTACTGAGAAAAGTAATTAAGAAAGCCAATGTAACTGATTTCTTTCAATGTAACTGATTTCTTTCCAGAAGCCCCTGGCAATAATCCAAGCCCTCACTTCCCAACTTCTAGCCAGTATCTCCCTCTGTGGTCCCCAGCAACATTTATCTGTGACCCTTCCTCAGGAGTCAAATCTTTGTCTGACACAGTAAGGCCCTGATTAGATCAGGTACTCCATGACAACCCAACAGAACTTCCCAACTGAGTCCCTATCTTTAATCACATATGCAATCTCTTTCCCCACCTTGTAAGGCAGAGGCTCCAGGGATCAGAATGTGGACATTTTCAGAAAGAAGCAATATTCTGCCAGCCACAGATGTCCATGCTATTTACTGCATAACCATGAAAGAAACCAGAGAACAACTTACATCGTCAAGTTCTTAATACAGGGCTAATGTGAGGAGAAAAACAGGGAGAGGGAGAAGGAAAAGACAAAGACAGATAAGGGAAATGTAAAGACTAGAAAGAAACATAAAAGGAAGAGGAAGAAAAATGAAGTTATAAAAAGGGATAAGAAAAAAACAGCAAAAATGAAGAAAAATAAGACTATCCAAACATTACCAAAGGGAGTATGAAGTGATCCAATTTACGCATTTTGGTCAAATTATGTGTGTATACTTACATAGAAAATTTTAACTAAAAAGATTAAACTTCTTAACCTGACTTTCAATGACTGCCTACTATATACACTCCTGACCCCATCTCAATGTATATAATGAAAGAAACATATTATTACACATTTGCCCAAACCCAAAAAGTGTACATCAAGAGTAAACTGTGTGGGATCTGGGGATAAAGAGATACAGGTCCATGAAACTGTAGCAAACCCACCATTCTCTGAGGAATACTGCTAAGGATGGAGGCTCCCCATGTGTAAGAGCTGGGGGGTATGGGAAATCTCTGTGTGCTCCGCTCAATTTTGCAGTGCACCTAAACTGCTCTATAAATTGAAGATATCAAAAAATGACAGTCCTCTGTTGCCCCAGTCCATCTGAGTCTTCCCCCAGTTCTAATCTTTTACTCTCTCCACTCTTCTGCCTTCAAGAAGTATAATACAGGTGGAATCATAGAGCTTTTAGATTCATGCCTGGTGGTGGTGGGATAGTATCTTGAAAAAGCTGAAACCTAGAGTCACAATATCTGACTGCTGACCAACTTACGAAAAGTAGTAACCCCATCCATTATTTTCCAGTTATGATGACTTGCTTGCTTTAGCAGCCTCAGCTCTGGAAATCCACAGAGTGAATATTCTGAAAATAAGACCTTATTCATTCTACCACCACACTCAATAAAAATGTATAAATACGAAACACATGCACAGACCTTGGTATGTGTTTTAAAAAGTAAAATTTAGAACAGAGAGCGTTGGTTTCTGCCCGAATTCTTCAATTTTGTTTTTTTTTTTTTTTTTGTACCAGGGATCAAACTCACAACCTCACACTTGCCAGGCAGGTGCTTATGCTGTTGAGCTATATCCCTGGCCCCTCTGACCAAATTCTATTACAAAATGAGCTCATAGTATGGAAGCAGGAACAAAATATTTCCACAGGAAACACTGATCTTTTTCCACCCACTTCAATCAAGTAATAAAAATATTTTTTAGGTAACTTAGGTTCTCTGTTCTTTGACTTGGGAAGAAGCACATGGAATTCCACAAATCTACTACCACTGACTTGAAAAAAACATTGACTGTTTACCAAACAAATTTAACTTTGCAAGAAAAATGGCAAAAATTCACATACTACATACAAAAGTGCTAATACTATTTATATCTGCTATTTAAAGTGGTATGCTGAAAAGCACCAGAATGAAAATACTTATACGCATGTACACAGCCCAGGCCATTTTCACTGTTACTGAATATACAAGAAATGTACTAGGCCTAATAAACAGTAATTTATAATAAATAAGTTTATAATAAATAAAATAAGTTTATAATAAATAAAACAGTAAATTAATAAGCTGATAAAGTTCATCTTACAAAGCAAAAACCAGTCCCTAAAACTTAAATATGACACAGACATGATTCTCTAAACCACAGAAAGTTTATAATAATTGTAATAGTTGTAATAGTAGCTGAATGTAAGTGTTTACAGTTACTATGCACAACACTATTCTATGCGATATAATACTGTTAACCCATTTGACCCTCACAATTCTTGAGTTTAAAGGTATCTTATTTTAAGAAATAAGAACATTAAGACCCAGAGAGATTAAATACATTTACCAAAGTCACACAAGTAACAGCAGAATCAGAATCAGAATCAGAATCCAAACCAGGCAACTGGCTCAGAATTCCAACCCTACTTATATTTATTCCAGGCTATATTAAGTCTACTTCATTTTTAGTTCAGAAATTTGGACATGTATTCACAGGAACAAAATACAAATATTCTCCACTAATTTGTCACTGTTGGATCCTGGTGGGAAATCTGGAACATGACTATATACTATTTTTTTTTCTTGAAAACAGTGAAACTTCTGACAAATCACAGGAGTTAATTACAAAACTCACTTTCAGCATTTTCCACAATTACTACAGAGTGGGGATATTCTGCATGACATCCATCTCTCTCCTAAGATGTTTAGCAATATTAGATACAAGTACTCAATACATAGTTTGGGTTGTTTTTGGTTCTGGCTTTTGTAGTTTGAGACAGGGGCTCTGTATAGCTCAGGCTGGCTTGAACTCACTATTTATAGTCCAGGCTGGCCTTGAACTTGCCATGAAGGATCCTACTGCCTCAGCCTCCGGAGTGTGGGGATTACAGGTATGTACACAACACCCCCTAGCTTGTTCTGAGCCAGTATGCAGACTGCAAGTCTGCACATACCTGTTTCACGGACCAAGACCCCATATGTATACATACCAATTCCCCACAATTAATGTATTAGGTACTGTAAACTTATCTAATAAAAGAAAGGGGGCAGGAGGGATAAAGAACTGTCACACACAACTTCACAGTATTCTGGTGGCAACAAAGATAGCATTATTCCAAAAAGCAGTACATTAAGGGGCTGGGGATTTAGCTCAGCGGCATAAGCGCCTGCCTTACAAGCAGGTAGTCGTGAGTTCGATCCCTGGTACCGAGAAAAAGGAAAAAGACCAAAAAAAAAAAAAAAAAAAAGCAGTACATTAAATCCTTTCTTCCCCAAATTCCACTCAAAGACTTAAAAAAAAAATGTATTCAAGGAAATAAAATTCACTGCAGCAGAGGAAGGACACTATTAGTGAATGTTAGATTTTAAACAATTTCAGAAAGATGGAGTGAATGAAATCCCTAAAGAGGGAGGGAGAAATGCCATCTCCACAGGGGAAGCCCAAGTACTGTGCTTGCGGTCAGTGCGCCCAAAGTTCAGAAGTGAGCAGTGAGGCAATAACCGTGGAGATTACTCAGTCGCCCAGAAACCAGAGGTTAATGTTTGCCCCCAGAAAAAAAAACCCAAAATGTAATGTTTGCCCCACAGTAAAACCCAAAAATGTAAAAGTTCAGAAGTGGGCAGTGAGGCAATCCTGAGATTACTCTCCCCCAGAAACCAGAGGTTAATGTTTGCCCCCAGAATAAAACCCAAAATCCTACTGTGAAGGGTAGTGTTTCAGAACTTGCCAACTTTGGCTTAATAACCGTAGAAATCAGCTAAGGAAGTGGAAGAAACTGTACTCCCGAGGAAAAGCCGCTCTGCCACGCCTGTGAAGTTTCAATTTATTTGCGACTTTCCAGGTTAGACGACCTGCTACAAAGAAAGAATAGTCTACCAGGCCCCCCCCCCACTTCATGTGGAGAAAACACGGCCTATTGCTCACATTAATAAAAATACGGCAAGCATCCATTACCTCTAACAGGAACTAGAAAAGAAAACGGGAAGCACCGCTCCGCACAAGTAATAAAACACCGGTCGGTGATTGTACTGTTGGTGACTTACAGAGGACGGCAAATTTCAAAATCAGGAGTCAGGACAGGTCCTGAAGCTGGGGGTTGTGGTGCGCGTCTGTCATCTCATCCAAACTTCGAGCCCAGCCAGGGAAACTCAACGGTTTAAACAGACTCTATCGCTAAGTACACAAACAGGTTGGTGACGTAACTCACTGTGAAGGCCCCGTGTTTAAACCTCAGTCACTACCCTCGCACCCCGAAAAGGTCCCTGACCCTTACAGACTTAGGGATATAAAAATTCCATGAGCTAGCAAAGTCTACGGCGTCGGCCAGACAGGAAGCTCGGTTCCCACCCCAGTCCCGGGACTTGGAACGGGAGCCGGCTGTATGTCGGCGATACCTGCGCGCCGGGATGCTGCGGCAGCCGGAGGACCCGACTGCCACCGAGGCCAGCGTCACTGACAGAGACACCGCGACGAAGGCCTTTCCCAGGGAGCGTGCGGCCATCGGCGCCCGGCAGAGCCAGGCTGCTCTCAGCTGGGCCTCGGACTCCAAGCGCAGCACCGCCGGGGCCAGGGGCACGCGTCCGCCGTGCACTAGGACCAGGCAGCCCCAACTCCCGGGACAGAGTCGCTACATCGACCAAGACACACACACACCCCGGCGCCCCCGCAAGAAACACTCGAGGGCTTTCCCAGGGGCGACCCAGTCCACACCGACACGTGACGCCCACACTGCCAACCCAACTACGGGAACCTGCATCCGGGACTCTATGACGTACCCAGTGCGTGGTGGCGTTTTACGGCACGCCACAAAACAAGTGTCGTGTAGACGTCGTAGGGCCCTGGACCCACGCGGGCTCTCAGTCCGCTCAGGCGCACGGGGCCGAGGTGGAGGGGCTTACCGGGCGGCGCCGGGGAGTACCCGGGAATACCCGGATCGGAGAAAGGAACCAGAACTGGAAGTGGCTGCTAGGAGAAGCAGAAGAGCTCGAGAGAAGTTGGCTGCACTGTTTGAGGACAGGAAGGGACAGTGTTAGCAGTCGGTTGTTAAGGAAAGCGGTGGACACTTAAACAACCCCAGCATCTTGAGGCGTTTCTCTCCCCCGCAGCCCCCTTTTTAACCCAGCTCGGTGTTTCTGCAGATTTCAAAGGTCTGGCCGACCTTTGAAACTCATGGGGATTCAAAGGAACCCATGGTCAGCGGCACAGTGCCTACCTGACAAGCTCAGGGCCCTGAGTTTGATTCCGGCTTTAAAAAATAGACTGTGGGATGGGCACACGGCCTGGACCAGAAACTTAGAAATAAAAAGTCAGCCGTCCTAGAATTTGGAATTCTAGGTTATCCAGAGAACTTTGTAATCTGGCCTTTTAAAAAAATATTAATTGTAAATGTGGCAAATTGTAAATTTTATCATTGTTTGGGCACTACACTCAAATAGAGACAAGTAAAACTGGCCATCGTAAAAGAAAGATCAAATGTAACATTCTGAGAAGTTCAGGGGTGCTTTAGAAACAGGGTCCTACTATGTGTCTCTGACTGGCGTTGAATTCCGAATCCATCTCCTGCGTCTGCTTCTCGACCATGGGAATTACAGGCATACACCATCATGCTGACCTTGAAAAAAACTGCAGAACACATGGCACGTAGTGATCCAAACTTCTGCACCAAGTTTGATCACATTCTCGCGAGACTTCTAGCAGTTTAAAACCTTATTTAATGCCTGCCCGGAAAAGCTTAAAGTTAATGAAAATTTACTGTATGTTCTAGCCAATATCAGGTCATAGGTAGTTAGGGCCTTTAACTCCCTGGATGAGTTGCCTTGGAAAGCTGGCAATGATGAACATCTCTTACATGGAGATGTAAGTCCGCCACATAACTATTTTTGAGAGAGGAACATTAAGGGAAATAATGCACTGTAGTGCCCAGTTCTTGTGGAGAGGTAGAGTCCTGCTTCACTTGTGCCACCTCCTCCTGTCATGACACGACGGGAAGTTTGTTTCTTTATATCAGGGCCAATTAGGAGGTCCGGATGGCCCAGTTACACACACACACACACACACACACACACACACACACACACACATGCTTTGAAGCCTTCTGTGCCTTCCTTTGGTACACCCCAGCCTTTAAAAAGTCTCTAGCCTTTTATTTCAGGGAACTTTGGATTCTTGATGCACTCTCTTCTTTTTGGCTATTGTAATAAAATCTTTCTTTGCTAATTTAGTACCAGCTTTATCTTTGATAGCTTTTACAGCTAGTGGAGTACTTTTATTAAAATATGCATTTTAAAAATAAATACTAAGCCGGTTATGGTGGCAGGCACATATGGTCCCACCTACTCAGGAGGCAGAGACAAAAAGGTTACTTTAGCTCAGAAGTTCTAAGCCACCCTGGCAAGAATGTTTCAAATACATGAAAAGTAAGTAAAATATCAGTACATGACATTCTCTATGCAAAGGTTGCTAACAGTGTTAGTCACTGCTTCTGCAGGAAATGTGACAGCCAGGCTCTTAGTGACATTCAGCTCATCCAAAGTCTGCTGACAGATGAATGACTAGGGAGAAAAGGAGCAAAGGACTGAATCACAACACTCTCCTGGAGGAAGAGAAGTTCCTCGGCCTGTCTTCTAACCACCTCTTCACGGAGAGGCTGGAGTAAACCTAAAAAACTGAACTAACATTGCACCATCAGAATTGAACGCAAGTCTGCTCAGGCAGGCAGCAGGTCCTCCCAGGGCCTTCGAAGAAATGGTTCTTTCCTCTGTGGCTGCTAGAGTACAGTGAGTAGGCGTGCTTGAGCTCTTGGGCAGAACTGAAACACAGCCCCAGCTCACCCATGTTGCTTACTCAGGTGTACTCAGAACCTTGGAGAAGTGAGGGCTTGCTGTTTTTATTTAGGAAACATGTCAACTTGAAGGGCCACTTACTAAAATGGGGAGCCAGGCAGAAGGTACTGAGAAATGGATGTCTTTAAGTGGGAGAGCCATGTGCATGGTTAATGGAATTAATAGGGCTGCCATGTGCATGGTTAATGGAATTAATAGGGCTGCCAGAAATATGCATGTTAAAAGAATCCCAGCTGTTTTTCTATTCATGTATTTATACCACTCATATTTATTAAGTACTGTACTCTTTACCAAGCACTGGCCTGGTTGCCAGGACTAGAGCCATGGAGAAGATGGATTAGGACCTGCTCCCAAACATTTTCCAGGTAGGAAAGGAAAATCAGTAAATAAGAAATAAGAAAAGTAAGGTGAGGGAAACAAAACTTACTGTGGAAGAGAATTATTGAAGCATAAGTAACACTTTGGGTTGCAGGGGAAAGGTGTCAGGCTCTTCTGAGGAGGTCACAGTCCAGTGGAGACCTAAAGGCAATCTTAGCAGGCACTGGAGAGAGTAGGAAAAGGGCATTGTGGGCTAGCACACTGTAAGCTGAGTGCATTCCTGAGGTAGGAAGTGCTTGTCCATATGCAGAAACAGGCCATTGTACTGAAGACAGTAAGGAATAATAGTAAATCAGAAGAATAATCATCTCCAGTTATTCAAGGCATGGTGGCTCATGCCTATCATTCTAGCTGTGCCGGAGGCTGAGACAAGAGGATCACAAGTCTGAGGCCCACTTGGGCAATTGAGTAAATAATAATCTGGGTGCAGGTGTGGTGGCAGATACCTGGAATCCCAGACCTCTGGCAGGCTGAAGCAGGAGGATCACAGCTTCAAACCCAGCCTGGGCAACTTACTGAGAGACCCTGTCTCAGATCAAACAATTGGGGATGTACCGAGTGGGAAGGTCCTGGTCAGATGGGCTGATATGCAGACACTGCTGGCTGTTTCCCCACACTTCTTTATTCTGTGTTACATGTCGGAACTGTTTTCTTTAAAATTTAACCACACTGTGTTAACTGCAGCCAAAGGGCCAAATGGCCCTAGTCTAGGAGATGAAAGCAGAGTCTATCTACCGCATGGATCTTCTGGGAAAAGGATGGGTTTCCTGGTGAAGGAAACTGGTTCATTTCACAAACACCCTGACCCTTTGCCTCATTGCCTCCTTCTCTTACCAGCACTTGATGAGGAAATTTTCACAGATGAGGAGCAGCTGCACTGTCTTGACACTAATAACGACAGTCACACAGTGCTGGTGGCAGAGCAGGGTGTAGCAGAAACCTGAGCTTTTTCTCACCCAGCACCATTCCTGGACAAGAAAACAAACTATTTGCCTAGCCCACTGTGGTTGGATTTAATTTAAATAAAAAAAATCTAACATAAGAGCCAGGCATGCAAGACCACATAGACCATGGTGCAGAATTGTCCTCGGGGCAGTGAGAAGTCCCTAGAACCCCACCAAACTTAACCCTTCAGAGCACAGCACAGCAGGTGTGGTAAAAGTTGGGACTGGACAAACCGAAGCACAACAGCAGCACCTCTGGGAATTGGAATGTGTGCTGACTTTCTATTACTCCAGTCAAATACCTGAGAAAAATCAGCTGACCAAGAGGAAAGTGTTGCTGGAGCTAATGAGTGCAGAGATCTCAGTCCATCACTGAGCGTGTGGCTGGACAGAACATTATGTCAGGGAAAGGAAGGCGTGGAGCAAAGTTGTTCAGATTATGGCCAGGATATAAAAGGAAATGGAGCAGAAGCAGGGCTGTGGTCCCATGACCCCTCATGAACAGGCCCTTGGCATCCTCACTTCCTTCCATTGGGCCCTATCACCTCCAAGCAAGTGCCTATGCTTCAACACATGGCCCCTTGGAGGACACTCCATATCCCGACTGGGCCATGGTGGGAAAGCAGGTAGTTGAATTCTCAATACCTGCTTCTACTGAACATCTCTCCCTTCTTCCCTCAATCTACAGGTTCCCACTCCTTCCCTGCAGCAAGGATTTTCTTCATACCCTCTGTGTCTTTTCAGTCAGGGAAACTACACACACACACACACACACACACACACACACACACACACACACACACACCCCAGTCCTGCTTCTTGATGTGTGCTGAATTTGTAAGGCCTTTCTCACTTGACAGAGTGCAGTTTTCAGATTAATCCTGTGCTAAAGATATGAAAATCCCACTTGACAGTCACTTCTTTGTTCTCGTATCTGCTCTTTCCTCTGAGACACAGCAACCATTATTTTAAATGGCTAGGATGTCTGAAGATATGCAAGATATTAGGAACATCTAAATATATTTCCAAAATATCCTCAGTATTTTTCATTTTGACCATGTAGTTGGAGCAAATTGTTCATTTCTCTGTGACTGTTTCTCACCTGCAAAATGAGAAGATAGAATACTCAACATCATAGAGCCATGAAAATAAAAGATGCTAACATAAAATGTCTCAACACAAATTCTAAGATTCTTGTTTTCCCCTCCAATCAGGAACCGCACAGAGTGGGATCACTGAGCAGGGCAGACAGTTGAATAGAAGGGAAAAGTAGCCAACAGCAGGAAAAAAGCATGGCAGAGGCGAACCAGTGTATGTTGGCCATAACCATTAATATAGGTGGCCTCAATTTACCAATAAAAAGAAACAGGCAGAGTGGATCAAGACACAAGATCCATCAATATTTAGTATACAAGAACATTTTTCAAAGTCAAAGGAGAGAAAATGCTGCATGCAAAGGGAACCTGAAAAAAACAGGGGTCACTTGCTCATCAACTGCAAAATGGATAAGAAAGATAATGACATTTTTACACTATACCTCATGGCATGGGCAGCTCTTTCAAAGATAGCAAGACATATGGTAGCCATTATTGATTT